TTTCTCACAGCGGTGAGTATGAAGATTTCCGTCTTCTGGGTTGTTGCGCTGTGTAGTCTGGTTGATGTCAACCAGACTACACAGCGCAACAACCCAGAAGACGGAAATCTTCATTTCTAAATTCCTTTTTTTTAGCTTCTGGTATAAGTATGGTGTTAAAGCTTTTGGCATTTGATAGATGTTCATTTATTGTTATACATTATATATAAGCTGTGCATTATTTTCATTCACATGCATTTTATAAACAGAGAATTGTGAAGAAGGTTTTAATTTGTTGCAGGTGTAGCAGACATAAAGTGTCAGGTTCAGATGGGGAGGCACCCGCTAGGAGAGTTATTGTGCTGGGTGCAGGAATGGTGAGTGCTCCACTTGTGGAATATCTTCACAGGGGCAACAACTTGAATATCACTGTTGGTGAGTCACAATTTTCGGTGGTTGTTAGTTACAACCCAGATCTTATTTGGGTATGAAGTCATGCAGCTTGCTTCACACCAGTACAGTAAAACAACTGGTAAGAAGGTGGCCTGCATAAATATGCTAGTGCTCATTCATTTTGTAAAGCTCAGTAAGATTATGGCAAAAATAAATTTCTTTAATTCTATTTTATACTTGTACAAAAACATATTTAGTTTTGAGGTGGAATGAAAGCATTGTTTATAGTCAAAATGAGAGGTTTTAGAAACAATTAATTTCACTCTTTTGCATGTCTTATTATGTAAAACAATTTATGAAGTTATTATACATTTAGAAATATAATGGATTGTGTTACTCAGTGTTATCAGACCCTTTTTCCCACATAACTCTTTTGCTGTCAAAAGAATCTGATGCAGTCACATTTCAAATAATAAAGAAATGAGTTAAAGTTTATGTTTAATTTGATTACTTGACAATGTGCAAATACAGTGCACCTGAGACAGCTTTATATTCATTACTTAGTATGTCATAATCGTATTTGACTGTGAGGGATTGCTGTTGACAGTTTATTTGTGATTCTTCTGTTCTGTCTGTAAATATGACTTTCATATGCCAAATACTAACCTCACTAAATATCAAAAAGGAGTATGTTATACATGTATCAAAGTAGTCAGTAATTTTCCACCTACAATTAAAATTTTAACTCATGATATAAAAGTTTACTTCTTAACTCACTTCTACTACTTTGTAGATGATTTTACCTTTGTTGACAATTCTTATGCTTTATGTACATCTATATGTGAACTAAGTTCTGTACTTGTATTATGACTTGTTTTACATCCTTTTGTGTAGCACAAAGAAGGATCTATGGAATGTAAATAAACTCTAACTCTCCAGTCCACTCCACCATTCACATCATAATTTTCTTATCATTACCAATAACATTGACACTAATTTAAGACTTGGTTATTTTGTAACATTTACATTCGAAGCATGAGATTAAAAGTAAATTTTTTATTAATCTCTTTAGCTCTGATATTTTGCAGCATCGGCACTGAAAGATGAGGCAGATGCTGTTGCTGGCCGCTACCCAGGAGTTGAACCAGTGCTTCTAGATGTGGTGGAACGACCAGACTTGTTGCAGGAATTGGTTGCGACAGGAAACCTTGTTGTGTCACTGCTTCCCAGTACGTTGCATTACCTGGTGGCTGGGGCTTGTATAAATGCTGGTGTGCACCTCGTCACAGCATCATATTGTACTGATGAACTGAAGGAAATGCACGACAGGTATTTAAAAGGATATCTTGTGTAGTATCACGTGGGATTAAGAAGGAATAAGAAAAATAAATAAATAACCATCTAATCAACTAGGTAACTGCCTAAATTAATAATGAGAAGAGAGTAAACTATTTATTTGTAGATACACAGATCCTTGCTACATTCGTATTATGTGTTTTTGTGCAATAAGTGCTTATCTTCGTATTAATAATGCAATAAAATCTCCACTCAGTGAAATGCAGAGGACACAAGTTTTTGGTTGTGTTATATGGGAGTTCTTTATTTTGAAGTTATAACCTACTTAGGTACATTATATTTCTGGGTCAAGGAATTTATTAGTTTATGGAGGTTTCTTATTATAGAGAGTTTTACAATATCCAGTAATATGCCCATATATTTTTATTATATGATATTACCATCAGGATTATTTGTTGTCATGTCCCAGAAGAACACAGCCAACTTCTTTGCCAGTGTGAGAATCTTATATAAGATATATGAAAGTACCACTCATATATTCAGTACCATATTTATACAAACAAATCTGACTTCATATAAAGAGTGAGACAATAATGAATTTATGTATCATTAAAGCTGTTAAATAGAAAGTAATCTGCATATTTATTATGGCTACTAGGTGGAGTATACTTTGAAGTATAATAAACTTAGGAACTTGTTATAATGGACTTATTTTCAGTAACTCAAAATAAAATGTCTAATTTCTAGAGCTGTTGAGAAGGGCATCACCATCTTGAATGAGGTGGGCTTGGACCCAGGCATAGATCACCTGCTGGCAATGGAATGCTTTGCTGAGGTGCATCAGGCTGGAGGCAAGGTTGAGTCCTTTATCTCATACTGTGGAGGTGAGTGCAACATTTTAATTTTAACAGCCTCCGATTTTGCCTTAACACTTTCAAGTCTTCAATAAAATCTTCTTGGGCAATCACCCATCTTCAGGATTCTGATGTGACTGGATCCTCAGAAGTCGCCTTTCAAATCTTGTTTGAGACAGTCTGGCAATCATGAAATTTATTCTGACTCTAGCCTAATGATAAACCAAGTCCAGCAATGTGAACTTAAAAAAAAGTGGTTAGAAGATTGTACCAATAGGCAATATTATTATCATTATTATTATCCCATCTACTTACCACTTTATAGGGTGTTTACTTCTATGTACCTGAGACAAACCTTGCCCCTGAGGTACATAGTGCAGCAGCTATTTCTGAAATACATTTTGTTTTTAATATGTGTTACATGTATTATATAGTTTTATTGTGAGAGATGACTATACAGGGTGATTCAAAAGGTTAGGGCCAAACTGGAGGAGCGTATAGAGGGACTCAGAGAGAACAATAAAAAAAGCTAGTAGGAGAATAGCAAAGTACGATTATTTCAGCGGTATGTTATCAGACTTCCCTACCTTCAATGGCCTCGACTGACTCAAGATAACTTCGGAAGACATGGATTCCTATTCGAAAGTTGTTCTCTTTGAGTCCCGCTATACGCTCCTTCAGTTTGGCTCTAACCTTTTGAATCGCCCTGTATATTTTATGACATCTTTCGAATATGGAACTCTTGCTTTCATTATATTATCTTTAACCTTACTGTATCATAATACCAGTATGCAAAATAAGAGTGTGTATGATGCTCCTATGGTCCCATTTCTCTTACTGAATGCTTTGTCATAAGCCTCAGTTGTAGCAACTTTTAGATATATAGAGACACGCACATTATGAAAGGTTATCAGTGTGTGAATTTGTAGAATTGTAATCTTACTCTTGCTTTGTGACATAATTATGAGAGGCAGTATAAATTATGTTGTTGATATGTTACATAGCCTGCATGAAACATGTCACATTAAACTGCAGAAATGATTGGGTTGGTCATTAGCGATTGCATTGCCCAATGAAATGTAATACATCATGTTTCAAGCTCTGTTCTTGAAACATCCAACTTCAGTTCCTTTTCTGGTTTGTACAAAGTCTTGCTTTATAACAGGACTGCCAGCTCCAGAGTGCTCTGACAATGCTCTGCGTTACAAATTCAGCTGGAATCCTCGTGGTGTCCTTCTCAATACACTAAGTACAGCAAAGTATATTCAAGATGGACAAATTGTTGAAATTCCTGGTGGAGGACAAATCATGAAAGAGACACAGTCACTTGACTTCTTACCGGGATTTGCTCTGGAAGGCTTCCCAAACAGGGATTCCACCAAGTATGCCAAACTATATGGCATTGCAAATGAGTCCCACACTGTTTTGCGTGGAACTCTACGTTTTAAAGGTATGTATAAAGATGTGGTTGTGGATGTTAAGTTCAGAATGAATTATGAACTGTGGTTAAAGTATAGGCTGAACTCCTTTAAGGATCATACAGAAGGAACTGTTACGTTATCCTACTGATATTGTTTCTAATGTTAATTATGGTAAGGAAGGAAAGAGAATCATAAGATTAGGCATCAAGAACACCTATTATGAATGGGCATTTTTGCATTATGAATTAATTTGGAAATACTTGTTATATTTAAAAACAATAAACAGTCAACTTAATGTTGTAGCATAATACGTAATATTATTAGCATGTGGGCATTGTTCATTCAATAAAATACTGAAGGGCTGGGGTAGCCATCATGCTGTGAAACTTTTCCAGTTGGTAACAGACCAACTCATACTAAATAGTTCAGTGGCAGGTTTCATTTGCAGAAGTTAAATTCTGTGGAACTTTGGAGATCATCATCATCTGTGGCTCTGCAACCCAGTGTGGGTCTTGGCTTCCTCTTTTGGAAGTCACTTAATCTATTTTGACATTGTGATAGGACTCTTTGGACAAGTGATTAGCCCATCACAATGCCTCTGCCTGTACACAGGACAGCACAACACAGAAAGAAACAGACAAACATCCATGCCCTGAGTGAGATTCAAACCCACGATTCCAGTGTCCAAGTACACAAGGCCTGTGCCTCAGACCGCACAGCCACTGTAACCAGCACAGTCATTAGTATAGTTACCGATAATATTGTTTTGAGTTGGTGAGGATTATTAATGGGGATGTGTCCTGTTGTAAACCCTTTATAGTCACATTTCAGTTATTTGTATCTTGATATGCTGTTTCTTCAGGGTTATGGCATAATTTTTCCTGCTGGTCTCTGTTGGCATATATTAGATCAGTGGTATTCAGACTTGGGTTTGCATACCCCTGGGGGTACGTGAAATTTAAAAAATATATATATATATATATATATGATAAATACAACAGAAGATCCTTTCATTTTTGGTTTCTTTTTAACATTTTTTTCAAAAGTCTTCATTGACAATCAGCATTTATTTTTCCTAAAAAAACATTATGATATCCAGTTAAAATGGTTGTATTTATATATCTGGCTAGTTAATTGTATTGTGTGGCATGTGGCAGAATGTGTGGATGTAATCTTGGTTTACAAACTGGTAAACTGTGAGAACACCATACCAGGTTGCAAATTGTCATGATGTTATTATCAGAAGGCAAATTTCTTTTAAGCTTGCTGAAGATGGCCTTGGGCAGTTTAGAAAGAAACCCGACTTTAATAAAAGAGTTCCAGCATTCACTAAAAAGCTGGGTATTATGACCAACCCGGCTTTAATAAAAGAGTTCCAGCATTCACTAAAAAGCTGGGTATTATGACCAGCCAGTAACATAGGAAGACTTATATCTAATAAGTAATGAATAAACCCAGCATGGTGATGGACATATAGACAGGATTGACTGTGTGGTGTTCTGGGCTTTGAGGATGTGTAGTTTTGTAGGTGGAATGTATCACCTCCAATTTCAAGGTTGTAACCATTAAAAGACATGGCATCACAACCCAGAAGACCACAATTAACATCTTCATCAAAGTAAACCTCAAATACCATCATATATTTGGAATACAAACTGTATTCTTATTAATATGAGCTTTTTGTTTTCAGGGTTTGCAGACACAATCCAGGGTCTGCAGCTTCTTGGATTATTGGATCTAAATCCCCACACTGCTCTACACCCCAAGGGACCAGACATAACATGGGTAAGCTATGCAGAGAATGTCCAGTTTAATAGAGATTATGTGACAGGCAGAGTGCTGAACTGGCTGATATGCATCAGCTGGTTACTCTTCGCAAGTTCACTCCCATATCCAAGGATAGTTGTTTTCTGGTGCTTTGTCCAGACTACCATATCCAACCTTATTCAGACAGAAACATGGTGTGAAGAAACAAAAAAAAAAATCTTTCAGAGTACATTGAGTACACTGTTTTATCTTACAGCCAGGTGGTACATGCAGCTACCTTTAGTGATTTCTTGAATGATCTATCAGTCAGTCAGTTACCATTAATTTATTTACAGTGTAATACTGCTAAGTGGCTGGGCTGCATGATAAGCTAGCAGCAGAGTACCTGAAGGTGAACATATTAACATTAACCAGAATTAGTGATTAATTGAAATTATGGAAATTGTGTATATTTGACTTTATTAAAATTGCTCAAACATGTTCATGTTAGGTTACAGCAAAGTAAATTTAGAAACAGCAAAAAATAACTTTGGGTCCTACTTTAAATGACATGCTACATGGCCTGAGAGAAAGACACTTCTCATTCAACAGAAACTGAATGCTTTGATCCATATGTAACATTGGACATGCAGCTGTTGTCCAGATTATGAGGTGGTAACTTTGAAACCCCTCCCTATTCACTATTCGTAATCATTTTCACATTTAATTCGATGCTATATATACCCACTGCAGTTTAAACCCGACTGATAACACTCTCTATGCTGAATACATTATTAACATTTTCTCTTATCTGTATATTTTTATGCCAGCTTCTGTTTGAAAACTAAAATCAAAATGTTTCATTTGGCTTGAAGTTTCCTTTAACTGATAGTGTTACACACAAATGATAGTCAGCGCAGAAGAGTTTGGTTTCAGGGCAAATAATGTAATAACTAATGACTCATGAAGACTGACAACCTCATTACAGCGCCAGCTGGTGTGTACACTACTAGGAGTGGTAGACTCCTCCATCTTCTACGAGAACCTCAAGACGCAGATGGCACAGTGTGTAGGTGCTGCACGAGTCAGTGCCATTGAGAGTCTGGGACTTCTAGAGGAAGACCTTGTTGTGAAACTTGGCACTCCTCTTGACAGCCTCAGCCATTTCCTGTCTAGAAAACTATCTATTGGTATGTCAACAGGTTATATTTACCAATATATGAAACTTGGTGAATTTTGCATTACTTGACATGTTTAATGTCATTAGACCCCATTAAATTACATCTTCCGAACCAAACACATGTTATTGTGGTGGCTGGTGACAGGTTGAAACAGTGGGTTGTATTGTGGTCAACCAGCTTTGTATATATATTTTCCAGAAAATGGGGAACGTGACCTGGTAGTGTTGAGGCATGAAGTGGCAATACTGTGGCCAGATGGAAAGCGAGAACTTCGTGGTATCAATTTGGTAGAGTATGGTGAAATTGATGGGCATTCTGCCATGGCAAAGGCAGTTGGGTTCCCTGCAGCAATTGCATCCAAGATGATACTAGATGGTGAGTGACTCAGACATTTCATAAAGAGTTGATCTTTGTTGAACCAGAGGGCTTATGTTCTTCAGCAAAACCATGGCATCCAGTGAAGGCATGAACTAGTGGGAAGAATATAAAGTTTGGGAAACTTGTAAAAGAATATTCCTATATATTTTCATAATGAAAGCACTTTATTTTATGTAATTAACATAGAACTATATTACAAATAATAATATATTTGTAAAATATTATTTAGAACTCTACAGAGGTGCTGGTCAGAATGCAGTTGTGGCAGAAGCAGGTGTCAGATTAACCTTTATTGTTTATGCACATTTTTCTTACATATGGTCCAGCTAGCTTTGTATTGCAGTAGCATACAGCTAAATAGTTAAATCCTGTAATTAAAGTCTGACCAGTTCATGGGTCTAGATCCCCTTTTTCTGTATATGGTAACAGTTCAAGAAAGGTGCTAGATACATAAGCCAGTTAGGGACTACTGTACTGGACAGTCTTGAGTAAATTGTTTTGCAAGTTAACCTTTTTGATAATTTTAACAATTAGAAATATGAGAAATCTGAAAAGGTTTGATTTGAGCTTCAGTGTAAATTTTCAGGGCTAAATTTAATTCTTACCTATTGATTAATTTTCTAGATGAAATACATAGATGGAAGGAGGGATGTACATGGTTTACCCATTATACATTAATTTAGTGTTCTTCATATAAAGAACACATAAGAACCACCATTAGATGATAACTCATTCTGACTTGCAGACTGGTTAGGTAACAGTTTCTTCTTTTAGTAACAATGAAAATGTACTGCTTTGCCAAGCACTAAGTAGTTACAAATTTAGAACAGGAAACAGTAATGAAAATGGCTGTTTTCTGGGGTGTAGTGCCACGTAGTCTGATAGTTTACTGATGTTTCAGAGATACTTACTGCATCCATCATTAGGTTCAGCATTTTGTGATAAAAGTAATTTTTGAGTCTTTGTTTTATTTCACAGGTGAGATACAAGAGAAAGGATGTATTCTACCATTCACGCCTGATATTTACAGACCAATTTTGTCCCGACTGCGATCAGAGGGACTCAGAGCAACAGAACAGTCACGTTGGTTTTGAATTACACAAAAACACTTCATTATCCCCCTGCCCCTCACTTGGTAACTATTTAAAACTAGTAATAAATCAGAGATTCACAAGACAGTATTTGGAAACATGCAATATTTATGTAATAATGAAGAATACTGGCAAGCAGTAAGCATGATGTGATAGCAAACTTTAATGGAAAACTGATGCAGCTTTTGAAATTTCACATAAAAATTAATCAACTTCTCTCTCAGTTTTCAGTATATCAGCTGTTTGGGTGTGAATGCTAGTTTTCTTTATATATCTGACTGTACCTTGCTAAATTGGAGAGAAGTAAAATACTGAATTTTTGTTGTTCTTGTTTCATAATGAACTTTTGTTTTTCTAAATTTTTGCCTATTTTAGTAGTACAATCTTCATAGCGATGAAAGTAAGTAGCATTTATAAAAGGTTATGAACAGTAGAGTCACATTATAAATAGTACACAGCTGTCGGCTTTGGTTGGTCACAGGCAGCCCCTATTCAAGTGGCCTATTTTGGGGATTTTTTTTTTTTTTGGTGTCTTGTTAAAGCTCATCCATAAAGTTTATCCATTATGTGAATGGCATTTCTGAAAAGTTCAAATGTATAGGGAACAGCTACAACATTAGGACAATATTCAAAACAAAACACACTCTTACAAGTTTACTTATGAGAACAAGACTGGAAGGAAGTCTGAAACAGATGAACCATTGTGTCTACAGCATTCCCTGTGAGTGTAAGAGAAGCTACGTTGGGGAAACACATAGACTGCTAGCCACGTGTCTCTGTGAGCATAAACACGATCTGAAATTGGGTCTTCTAGAAAAATAAAAAGTGGCCCAACATGCCCATCAGCAGGGTCATAGGGTAAGATGCAATGAAGCTAAGATTTTGGAAGTTGAGAATAACAGATACAGGAAATACAAAGAAACAGCCCATGTGGTGTGTCTCACAAATCCCATCAGCCAGTCTAGTTTGGAAATTTCTCCAATTTGGATCCCCCTCATCAGCAAGATTATCAACTCTCAAGGAAGGTCAGTTTTGAATGTGACAGACTCTTCTGAGAACTTCTATGGCTCTGTTTCACGGCTGTATTCTTGGTCCACTGATGGTGCTAGCAGTAGACAGATATGAAAGAGAAGATAATATTTTGTATTTTTCCTGCATGGGGGTTCTGGTTTTGGATTTGGTTTGATGTATTTTAATTTCCATTTCCACATTACCCTTAGTCTTGACATTCATATGCCTTCTTATCATTTCTATTGTTAATCTTATCATAATCTCCTGTTGACAACTTGATCCCAGGTGCTTATTATACATTTGTAGTTCTGATCTACATTGTCCAGTGACTGAGATTAGCTCACTGTAACAAACCCCACAGAGTAGACGCCCTCCCCCTTCACCACACCTGAAGATGAGGACAAATCCAGTCCTGGAAATGCTGTGTAATTTTATAACATCAGATAATGGGCGAAGTCCAAAAAAACCAAACAATTCAGACTGTATTACTCCATAGTCATAACCCTTTGGAATATATCATTTTGTTACAGAAAAAATTCATTTCAAGAATAGAACTTGGATAAAAGTGTGGACATCAGTAATGCTTGGGAAAGTATTAGAATGTCAAAATGTTGTATCACACTCAGTATTATGTGTTAAAAAGGAATAAATCATGGACTGATGAGAAGTGTTCTGAATTAGCATGTCATATTTCCATAATGTCCATAAAAATATTCTCATACCATTCAATCCTGCATATCCCAAGTGATCTGTCTGCTTGATGTTTTGTAATATAGTTATATTTTTGTTTCCTCTGTTCATGATACACGTGTATACCTATCTCATCCTTCTGTATTTAACTGCCATAACATTATTACCACTTTATTCTCAGACACTTTAAATGGTTTTTTTTATCTTTTCTAAGGATGATACATCAGATTTCACCTGTATGAAAAAATATGTAAAATTATAATTCTGAACTAATGGTAGCATAAATTTCCCAAATTCTATTTTGATTTTACTTCATCATGAATTCCATGCAGTAAAGTGAGATCAGATGTGCGATATTTAAATGAAAAGTCAGGACACCAATTTTTCTTATTGTTTTTTAATGAGTAGTTCACAGTGGGCCGAGTTACTCTGCTATGCAGGATCATAAATAAAATGGTGGAATTCTGTAGTTTCCTGGCCTTTACAACCCAGATTGGTTTTGACTAAAGAGACAGTATTACAGATTATCATTGGATGGTGGCAGGCCCATCTTTGTCCATATCTTCCAATCAAAATATGTATTTATCTTGTATGCCATATGCCCTGCCTATCTCATTCATCCTCCTTTATTTCATTACCCTAATAATATTTGAAGAGTACAGATTATGGAGCTCATTATGCAGTTTTGTCTATCCTCCTGTCACTTCACCCCTCTTACAGCCTAATATTCTCTTCAGTATACATCTGATGATGGTGCTACAACCCAGAAGACAGCCATTTTCTGACTTCATCTGGCTCACAATAGGGATCAATGATGGTGGGCGATTTCTTCAGTAGCTGAGTGACTATAAGTTTCTTAGCAAATGAGCAGGGATAATATAGTTCTTCAAGATATATACAAGCTGTTGTAGTAGCAAAGATGGCTTCTTAAAGTAAGTGAACAGAACAGGAATCAATGTACACTTAAAATTTTTATACTGGAAAATGACAATCAGTGCAGGAGATTACAATAATGTTACTTGTCACTACCGTCAACTTGCAGACAATGCTTTGTCAAAATGAAACGTAATGTCTCTTTCATTAAAATTATGATTGAGCAACTGATCATTTTATTAGAGTATAAAACAGGCATATAACAACATTTACATCAATTTAAATATAAGTGCAAATTTTGTTTGAAGTTCAAGGTGAGAAAACATGCGTAAATTGTGTTGTTTCTTTAACAGTACACAATACTTTATAACTGTGTGGGGGGGAGAAGAAAAAAACATTTCAATAAAAATATGTACAAATTTTGGTATGAGTTCAAGTAGATGAAACATATAAACTGCTGTTTCAAATGGATGATTTAAATTTTCTATGTCCACATTTTGCTCTAAATGAAAATATACAGTAATTGTTCTGATATCTGCTCTTGAACATTCTGTCCAAGCACTTGGCTGCTCTTGTACTCAGATAACTGGGTTCTAGAAGAATAAGAAAGTAGTCACGGTCTATTAAAAATTGACAAACAGGTTTCTTTCAAATGTCTGCCATCAAATGTTTAAAACACCTGTTTTCTAATTTGGTTTGAAGATTTGTTTTCAGACAATTCTCTCCTGTCTATTTTTAGTTATTTCGGTACTACAGTGACTCAGATCCTCATTTCCTGTCTTCTTGCAAGTGCTCTTTCTATTCTCAACTACTGATTATTCAACCATGGGCAATCCAATTTGTGTGACATCAGTACATCATTTTTATATTTGTTGTGAACTAGGCCTAGAGTTAATAGTATCAAAGATGAGAATGGTTATCTGTTTGCAGATCCCCACAGTGTTTTCAATAGGTGGAAAAATTTCTTTAACCAGGTTTCAGATGTTCATGATATTATGCAGACAAATATATACATACGACTTAGCCATTCATGCCAGAACCTACCCTTGTCAAAGTGGAAAAATTATAAATCTCTAGGTACTGATCAGATTCCAAATGAATTGATCAGCACAGGAGGTGAAACGTTACATTCTGAGATACACAAACTTCTTCATTCTATATGGAACAAGGAGGAAATGCCACAGCAGTAGGAGTCTATTATTGTACCTGTTCAAAAGAAGGGTGATAAGACAGTGTAATAATTGTCAAAGAATCTCCCTCTTATCATCTGCCTACAAAGTCTTATCCAACATTCTTCTGGCAAGGCCAACTCCATGCCAGTGAAATTATTGGGGATCATCAGTGTGGGTTGTGTCATCACTGATCAAATTTTATACATTTGCCCGATACTAGAGACAAAGTTGGAGTACAATGGGACAGTACATCACTGACTTAGTTCAAAGATAAGCTCTTTACAATATTTTGCTTGAATTTGGTATACCTAAGAAGCTTACTACTTTTCATCCAAAAGATTAGTGACATGTGCATCAGTAAGTCTGTAAGTTACATCAGGTACAAAAAAATTCTTCAGTGTCTTGACAACAACAAATGGAGAAAGCTGGTAAGGTTTGAGCTGAGATATCCTTATGAATGGTCTCTTTTCAAATGCATAATTTTGTAACAGACTATTATCTGGGGTTGACAGGAAGTGAGGATCATGGTGTGAATGAGTATTTTGTACTGAAGAGCTTCTGTACTTCCCATCGGTCTTGGTAATTTTGATTCTGAAACTATGAAGTTTATTCAGTATTTCAGTATCTCTGCCTTCAGTTGATACTTGTTGCTGTGCTTCATCCTTCTCAACTCCTGCTGACTTATTACAATGCTGTTGCTTTCCAATAGACCTATTGTTTGTTTCAAGCTCCTGAGATATTACAGTTTTAGCTACACCTAGCTGTTTTTTATCATTTGGATTCTTCAAAGTACTTTGAAGGTTCTCCTGAGTTGGAATCATCCCTGTGCTTGGAAGTGCTGCTTTTATTGAAGCCAGGAGGCTTCGTAAATTTTCTTCCAACAAGTATCCAAGTTTAGCTTCTTTTCTCCTCCGTTTGGATGTAGGAAATTTATTTCGTGGGCCATTCTTCCTTTGTTTTGTTCCACTAGAACACTCTTCTGAAACTCTCTTCCTTTGTTCTATGGGTTTACTAACAAGAGTAATGTGTCTTGAAGAAATTCTCTGATAATCATTTGGTGCAAAGTTTGGAGCTCTGTGAGTACAATTTGTTGAGGCCATAACTTGTGTAAAATTTGCTTGGGGTGGTGGCAGTGAAGTTAGTGGTTGGTTATTAATGTCTGTGTTTAGCGGAATCTGATTTGTGTCTAACATGGCAACTTGAACACCCTGACCTGTACTACATGTCACATTGCTTTGAGCTTGTAGTGATGAAGGACCAGAAGTCTGGTAAGGTATTGTACAGTTACCTCCAAACTGTGGGATGCTGCAATCAGGTGTTTCATAAGTCAGTACTATTCTTGATGCTGGATACTCAGGAACTTGTGACACGTTTCCAACAGTATCATCATTTTCAAGAAATATCCCAAATTTTGAACCAACAGTTCTAATTACATCAGTAACCTTTGAAGGACTTAACAACATTTCATTCATGGAGATATTGTCTGTTATAGTAGGAGATGGTTTATCTTGTAACACAGACACTGTTGTCATGATTTTGCTAGGAGGATTAGATGCTGGAAGGGTTGACAATGAATAATTCTCTCCTGATGTATAAGTTGATTCTACTATGCTTGAAGGAGTTCCATGTTTGTGGACTGTGGGTGTTCTGTGTGGAATCTGTTGTTCAGGAGGTCCTCTCATCTCAATGGCAGTGTGTTCTTTCCCATCACATGAATTATCTAGTCCTAACATTATGAATTCACTACTTTTGTTAACACTAGCAACTGGACCTACACTTTTGGGCATATAACTTTGAACATCTTTCACTAGTTCTGTTAATACTGCCAATGGAACTGGAGGTAAACCACTCTTATGTTGTGAAATGTTGAACATGGCTCCAATATTAGATGTATTTATGCCTATTTCAGGCAGTGAAGCTGTCATCACTTTTGAGGCACATTTGTCCATATTCTCAACACTGTCTGGTGCAATGTAAGAGGGCTGATTAGACTTCTGCACATCAGGTATCACACCATCGGTAAATTCTTCAGAAGGCTGAATATTACTGCTGGACAATGGAAATGCAGATTTGTGGGAACTTCCTGTATTAGGAATGGACTTAGGAAATGAATTTATCGTAGAACTGTTAACTTTAATAATAGGAAATTTTGTGTTTTCTACTAGTGTTGTGCCACATACAATATCTTTATCGTTTGATGTTTTATATGAGTCGGTATGATTTTTGGCCAGCATTTGAAATAATAGTTTATGTTTGTTTAATGTAGTATTATTTTCAGAAATGCAGACTGACTTATTTCCAATGTCATGTATTATAGCTTGCCCGCAATTTAAGTTTTTTTTTTCACCCTTAGAGTTGTAGATTTGTTTACCATTCTCAGTATTATTGAAGGGTTTACTCACAGTATTCACATTATTTGAATATTTGTCATAAGTAACCACTGCACAATCACGTATTCCATCCAGTGTATTGGAAATTGTACTGTCTGATTTGTCATCTTCTGTTTCAGAATATTTAAGACTACTCTTAACCAAAGGAACAGGTGAGTGAATTTTGCTAATATTTTTTGATGCATGACCAAGTATGGGGAGCACAGTAGCAGAATATAAGGGTTCTTGTACTGAATCAGTCTGGTATTTTTCCTGCACATTCTTGGAAGTGTGTGTCCCTGTACTGGAATCAGAACAGTCTATTGTAGCAGGTGTATTTCCAGAGGATGATCTATCTTCTGGTTTTTGGTGAAGAAGATTACTGCCCTTACTTGATACTGAGCAATCTGAACTTTCAGATAGATTACTTTGATTTTCCCTCGCATGAGTTTTGTCTTGTAATGGTGTATGTATTAGTGAAATCTGGAATACAGAAGTAATGCTTTTATAAATTTTTGCAACAGATTCAAAATGGTTTGGTGAGGAATTTTGGAATATAATTCAGATGACAACGATAATAAAAGAAAATATTTTCAACACATTTAAATTATAGGCTGCTTCTACAGCAAGACTTCAAAATACTAGTCAGTACTAGTAATTGGTTGGAACATACTTTGGAATACTAGAAAAGGGTCTTTTATAAACTCACACGGTATTTCTGGAACAGATCTCTAAGAATGTTATCAGAGAACCGCCAGACTTTTATGAAGTGATCTACTCTGTTGACTAGATCAGTACATGTCTTGCATACCACTGGGGGCAATCCATCTTCCAGTTCAATCTGTGCCAATACAAAAGGTTATTTGTTCAAAAGATTTTTGATTACAGCTGATAATGAATCTCTCTGCAGTCACACCTCCCTGGCCTGACTCTCCAATATCAATTTATAAACCATCAATATCCTAACCCTACTCACTTCAAGATGGAGGCAGCTTATTTCTCTGAAATGATAGTATACAATTACAACACTACATGACACAACAACCCAGAAAAATCATAACTAAACTCATGAAAACCTCAGATTCTTCTGTTGTAATTAAGTATGGCATCCTTACATTACCTTAATTCCAGTGAAACTTGTGATTTTCGCTGCCATTGTTCTTCCATCGATCCCTTCAAATAAGGAATTCATACACTCACCATTCCAATTTGTAATGCAACACAGTCTACACGTTTTACTGAAGTATGTTTGAAACTCCATTGCTATAAACAAACATCCCACAAATAGAAATTTTTACAATTCTGCGATTTTTTGCTTTAGCACAATTAATACTAAAGTTCCAAATTAATGTTTAAATGGGGTAAACATCTTTGTACGGAGTACGCGACGCAATAAATTTACGCCATCCTCAGTACGCATGGCGCGCGATCATGTTCAAAATAGCATTTCTCTGCTATCTGTTGACCAATATTTAAACTATTTACTCAGGTAAACAGCTAAAATGGGGTCCGCGGTGACCGCGCGGTCTGAGGCGTGGGCCTTGTGGCGCTTGGTCCCTGGGACTGTGGGTTCGAATCCCACTCAAGCCATAGATGTGTGTCGGCGTTTTTCTGTGTTGTTCTGTCCTGTGTACGGGTAGAGGCCTTGCGACGGGCCGATTCCTCGTCCAAGGAGTCCTACCGAATGTCTATAGATCAAGCCAACTCAGGCACTTGAAGAACGGGTCGTTCCCAGTATCTCCCAGTAAACAGCTAAAATCTCAGGCTATGAGGGTGAATGACTTTTGTTTTATAGCTGTAAATTTAAGGCGGGAAAAGAGGGACAGATTTGGAAGGGCAGTCATTCTCACAAACAAGGAATACCTTCCATAAATCCTCCCCCTCTACGTCTCACAGAAAGACAAGCTACAAAAAAATTGTCGTGTGTGCATTTGTCTGGTCGCCGTTCTCAATACTGCAGAATACACAAATGTGAAACATAACCTCTACTTTCACACCCAAGGAAATAACTGAATGTAAAAGTCTCAGAATACAGCTAAAAGATTGTTAATATCTGCACACTAAATGTGAGAATAAACTGTCGCTGCTGGTAGATTGAATTAATGCTGAAGATAAAAATAAAAAAATTCAACCTTCCTTAACAATGTAAAATGATTCTACATGCAAACACTAAAAACAAAACACACTTTTGCCCGTTGGTATCTTCTGGATCTTTAATGACGTGTTGACTTGTGTCTCCATCTTCAGCCCTGAAGATGGAGGCTGTATGTTCCTCCGAAACGTTGGCACCACCTACAAGTTCGCACTGTGTGCTACAACCCAGACCACCGTACAAACCTCAAATTTCCCAACACACAAGTTTTCTAAAATAGTTGGAGTTACCATCATAAAAACTATCAGAGACGACAATATTAGGTCACACTTCATGTCCGAGCTGTTTAGCCCCGATTGTGGAAGAAAGGTGAAGGAGAAGGTGCAATACCAGAAGTGAGAGTGACAATCAGGAATTCACTTTTTGTCTGGTAATTGCAACTATTATCCAACATGAAAATATTTAACACCAGCAACCTTCGAGATGAGAAGCCAGAGAATAACAGTTTGTGCTCTATAATATGGACAGAATCTGCCTGTAGTGGGTTATCTTCCCGTTCGATAACTCCTGACAAATACTACAGAAAATCAGAAACCAGAGCAAAAGAGAACTTGTTTAATACTTACAATCTGAATAGTATACAGATTTCCTTCTCTGTGCCACTGCCCACATCACAGTTTCCACTCGAATGAAAGTTATCGAAAAACCTCTGAAACATTGGTAAACTTCTACCAGACTACACGGCGCCAAAGACATCCATCTTAGATAACCTATGGTTTGGATTTGCAGTTACGGTTAGTTACAGCAAGCGCAGACAATTCGCTGGCGTACCACTAACCAAATGTGTTATTGGAAAACTTATTTATGTTAATATTATCTTTTGATTTTCTTGCTTAGTTCGCGTAACACTCAACATTGGCTCTCGTACCATCAGTGGTACGCGTACCTCAGGTTGAGAAACGCTGCTCTAGATGACAGAAATATACACCACATATCTCTTGTCTGCCGTTCTCCTGTAACACTGCCCGTTCAATGAGACATATGGACCACAAACAGTATATTCATAGGTAGATCAGAATTTTGTATAATGTCTGAATAGAAAGTACCATAAGAGGCTAAAGACCTATGTGATCTAGATGGCTGTGGCTGAAACGATTTCGGTGATATTCTACCCAGCGTGCACTGGGCGTGGAAGTAGAAGAATGTCCTTGTGAAATGGGAGTGGGTAAAATAGTGGTTACTTGCGTTGTTCTTGCTGGTAATTTACAGAAAAATGGTCTCTTATGTGCCTATTATATCGAAGAGTTGATATAATTCTAGTAATTGGTTACACGAACTATTGAAGGAAACCCATAGAAACTGCATAAACGGAAGGTAAAACTGGTTGCTGACGTAGAACGGTGGAAGAGGACTTAATTTTGTTGTGCTTGTGTTGTTTGCAGTACTATTTAAGAAAATTTAAGCTTGGGCACTACTGTGTTTGTTTTAAGTGTTGTGTGAGTTAAATTAGTATATCGTACGTCTTTCTGGTTGGATTACAGTTCTTTCATGAGTGTCGGGCCCAGCCTAGAAACCAGGCCTATCAATGAACTCGGGCCTATGTTTGCAAATCATTTGGTGCATCTGAATTATTCCTAGAGTTAAAAAGCCTAGATTTGTGCTCCACTTATCCGGATTACTTATATGAGAGGAAGAAAAGAAATCTCCCAAGAGTTTTAACCTGAATTTATCACTGCTTCATTGGACATGGCTTTAGGTAAGGTGTATGTGATTGTTCAGATACTTTGAATTCGCCACAAATTTAAATTAAGGGTAGGTTCCTGAACAGGACTTTGGTGAGATAATGATTTATATTATTAATAACAAGTACCGTGTTTCATGCCTAGGCCCTCTAGATCATTACATCTTTTGTGGGTGGGGATGTACGGGTTCATATCATGAAGTGTTTGTGTATGGTTTAGTGAGAGACGCTGTCAGTGCCGCAGCGTCGAAAGATGAATGTTACGTGTTTGGCGTATGTGTATATGTAGGAACTGTAGAAATATTACATCTCCAATTACTACATTTCTAATTCTTGGAATGAGATGTACAAAGCTCTTGCTTAGAAGTTAACTTTTTTTTTTACATCAAGTGTTTGAAAAGGCATTATTTAGCTTGAAAGTGTAGTTTGATTTATTAAGGATGAAAATGGTTACATAATATGACATTTTCCCCCACCCCTGCATGTTTGTGCATATCACAGATTTCAACAATGCTTTGGTTGTGTGTTTCACATTTGTTCATGAATACGTGCAGATTCACAGCACTGGTAGTGCCGGTAATGACTGACAGTGTATATGGTAAGACTCAGAAAATGTATGCATGTTTATAAATATGAACTTTCAGTAATAGTATAGAGGTTGCCATTGTTTCCTTTCCTGTTTCTCAGCCTCATCCTTGTATTTTTTATATTGAAGTAGTAATATGAAAAGTAGAAAAGTGTATTTTATACAATTGGTTTCATATTGTGTGCAGATTTAAACAGTTTACTTTACAGGCATGTATTGCATTTCAGGTTTGTTAACATATGTTAAATGTGTTGCAATTAATTTTGTGTAGATATTAGAGTATTTAGATACAACCTTTTATTACCAAATTTTGAGTTTTCAGACTTTCCGGTGTATGATGTTGTGTGAACTACATACAATATTAGGTTTGTGATAGTAGTAGACCAGAAACTGATGTGTCCCATTCAATTCACATCTCTTCTGGTTTTCTTTGCACCTTCTTAATGACATATTCTAAAGCATAGTTGAAAAACAATAGTTTTTATGTTATCCTTGGTTCAGGATGTTCAGAATAGGAAATGCATCAGACAAATGTTGACTACACAGACTTCACTGTGGGTTAGGCTATGCTTCAACACAGGTCGGTACTTACCAGATTTTCACCACAGAGGTCTGGGGTCACTCCCATAGCAGTTTATGTGGAATGTGTGGTGGACAAGGTGTCACTGGGACAGGTTTTTCTCTGAGTCCTTCACTTTTTCTCCACAAAACATTTCACCATTTTTCTGTATTTACTCATGTATCATTTGGTGGATAGACTGTAGGCTGTTAGTGGACACAGCACCTCAGAGACAGAGTTTAACCCCATTGTAACACTAACAAAATAATATGGTTTTGTTTGGAAGATATTTCAGGTAACTAACTATTCTTGCTGATGCAGAATTTTAAATTAATTCACAACCCTTTTTTAACTTTCAGAAATGTTGATGGACTCTTAAACCACATATATATTTATTATAGATTTATAAAAACATGATACTGAATTTAATGAGAATTTTGTATGTTACTTCTCTTGTAGCTGATTTTATAGGCTTTCTTGAAGTGTATATCAAATCAGTAGTTGATCAAAATTTACACTTATAATCAGTAATTTTTCTACTTACAGAGTTGTTTTTGAGAAAGGAATATCGTGTAATATTTATTGTCCAGTTGATAACATTTATATTCCTATATAATTACTAACAAGGGGACTTGGTCAATTGTTACCCTCCAGTTTGGCTCCAGTGTTACTGTCCGGTAGTTGAACCTCTGACTTCTTGGCCAAAATATTAGACATAGAGTTATACACAATTTTATTTTATACTTTCCTCATAGTTACTTTGTAAGTCCAGTAAAAAAAATATTTCTTTAGTTTACCATCATAGCTTAGTTGGTAGTATGTATGCCCAAGATGCGGGCAGTACTATAGAACATCCAAAAGAAATTCTCTCATACTGGCTTAAATGTTTTCTCTTTCCACCCCATTAACTCTTTGAATATTAATTACAGGGGCCACAGGTGATGAGGCATATTCTATCACACCATGCCGAGTAATTGGGATAATCATGCACCTTTTGTGATCTCATCATCCATTGATGATTCTAATGCTAATAATCTTCTCAAACCAGGGAAACATAAGGTAATTATACAGTTTATAATAGTCTACGTTTGATTTCTATCTAGTACTTTATGATTGAATTGCTTATTAAAATTGCTGTCAAGGGAAGGATGACAGGTAGGCCTCCAAATAGATTTTCAGAATTGCTGAAATTTAAAGATTGCCTTTATCAAGATGAATGTTTGTTTTTATTTAGCAAATTTCTGTAGTTCATTATAGTTTTCTAATAAAGGAAATTACAACAAAATTGAAATAGGAAGATCCTGAAGGGTGCACTGTATAATAGGGTGAAAGTTTCATGCACATGTGTTTTATTGTTTACTTGTTTTGGAAAAGAAAATTAAATTGTTGTAGAAGGTTAGTCTAATAATGAAGAAAGTCTTTCACTAATCCTGTTGGTGGGGATAACATTTACAGATGAAAGTCGGATCTTAAATGTAACAATAAGAGGGTGTGTTTGCTAAATACATACAGAACTTAGGTGGTTGCTGTAGCGATAATGCTCTATACTTGTATTCAGAAGGTACTGTATTTGAATCCTTTGGGTAAATGTTGGGATATCTTATGTTCAAATAAGTTATGTTCTTTTCCATGCAGACCTTACCTGCTTATAGCCTCTGTCCACTTTTTCATTATGTTGGTTGATATGTAACCACTGTTGATACAGCATCATGAAATAGTGTGAATTTGTCTGTCACTTGATCAGTCAGTAAGTAAATCATAAAATGAGGACATGTTTTAAGTAGGCTGTGGTACAAGAGACCATCTGCGCTGAAAATCATAATATGTAGATGTACTTTCATTTGTGCTTAGGATTTCCAACTTATGTGCATTTTTTCAACAGATCTACTATATCTGTATGCATTCAACTATGAACCAGTTTTATTTGTTTGGAATGTTAACAACTGTTTTTAGAATATGTTGTATGTATTATTGATTATTATCAGCACTGCCACAACTCTTAAATTTTTTGCATTGCAGCTAAAGTGTTTGCTACATATGAATATGGCTTTATTCGTGTTGGTACTGTTTTGTATGAGATAGGCTATAACCTTTAATTGCCATCTGGGATACACTTTTTCCATATGAAATACTTAAATGCCATATATTAAAGGTTAATAGCTTTGTAACTGGAAGCTGTCAAGTGTGAAGTCTGGTGAGTCAGATCACTCAAAAAATATGTTGCCTAGAAATTATCTTGCCTTGGAAGTGGTTCTAAATCTTGGGTAAGAGTCCATTTTGTATGTACATATTCTGTTATTTGGTGTTCAGAGTGTTCTAGGATACATCCAGCTGTATAGTGATGATTGATTTACTTTTGCGGGAATTAAGATCGGAGCATTACCACATCATGCTGTATAGTTGACTCCTAGATAACATAATGTTAAGTGTTGACTCAGCTAGAAAGATAATGTTTGATTACTCTCTGTAGCCAACATTGGCAGTCTTATAGCACACATAGTGGTTATGAACTGTGAACTGATATGAAACTGTAGGTTCCCTTTGGTAGATTAAAAATTAATTGAAAGATGCAAAGAACGAATATTAAAGAAATGGGGTTTGAGTATGTCAGCTGATTCAGCATTTTTTATGCCGTTCATTGGCAGGTTCTTTGGAATGAATTCCATGTGGCAGTTAATGAATCTTCAGGTTCCATTAAAAGGAGATTATATTTTTACTAGATTAACAGTTGTATGCTTCTTAAAGAGAACCGTTCTCTGTTTACTAACAGTAAGAACAGCTGTATTCACTAGAGGTGGATGTAAAGGCCTTACATTGTCAGAATTTTTAAACAATATTGGAAATGTGTACTCATAGCTGGAAGAGCTGTTGTTACCTTGTATCTGCTGTACCTCTTATAATCACAGTCTGCTTCTCTAATATCTCTCTTACTGTTATTTTTCCATATAATTGTCAACTTTCCAAGTGGTGAAAGAGCCTGGCACATCCTTAGGTTGCAAGTGAAGAGGACAGTTCCCATAATGTGAAATAAGATTTGATATGAAGAAATTTAATCTGCTGTTTTGAATTCAGGTGTAGAGTTGAGGGCTTTTCTTTACAAAATGTTTTCTGAGGCCTTAGAATTGGATAGATAAGTGAATAACATTTCATAGAAGTTTGCTTGCAGCAGTGATTGAGGTTCCTATTTTCTTAAAGAATTTTGTGTATGAAGTGCCCCAAATTGTGTAGTTAATTGTCCGTGTTTTTGAATTATATGTGGAAAAGTTATAGATATAGCAAATATGAATAATGTATTTTTCTAGCTTTTTAACTGTGTAATTGTCCATGGGCATGGTACAGATGCCATTAAAATGAATTGTCAGTTAAAATTTAAGTTGTTCGACAGTTGCATTATTCATTAAAAGTAACTGTGGTTTCTAAAGACTTTGAATGTTTCCAGGAGCAGCAGCTCGAATGGGGTTTGAATGGCCCCGCAGATCATAAGCCTGATCACACATCAATGAAGGTCGCTATGACGAGTAGCAACCAGTTGGTCGACTCTTGTCTGTGAGTAAAATATGTTTCTATTAAAAGGAGATGCTTCAGTGAATACTTTTACCTGTCAAAAACTTCATTGTTCGGGTATTTACTCTGGACATGATATTTTATATATTTGTTGTTGAGTTTGTATTCTTATTGAGTGTATAGGAACAGTTTCTTACCAGTGGCAGTGTATAAAATTTAATAAGAACAATGGCTGTCTTTAAATGCTGAAGGTTTCAGTTTATGTTGAAGGGTTCTTGGCATGTAAAGTTTAACCCTTCAAGTTTATCTAACACTGGCAGTATTTAAAATGGTCTGTGTGTAAGAAATTTGTGACAAACAAATTTTCAAGTTTTCCCTCGCTTTCGGTCATTTTGTCATCATCATTTCAATAGCAAACTGTTCACTGACTCATCTTCTGCACCACCTTCAATATCTTCTTCACTTCTCTTACTGTATGATAGTTTTTGAACCACAACACTCATTTCATCTTTGTCACTAATTCACTCCCACTACCACAAATTCTAATGTTTCTCATAACAGATTCCTGTCAAACTTTGTTTTTTTCCAAATTCAGAGTGCATGAAAGTCTATGATATGCTACGTTCCTTACTGGTTGATACAGTGTCTACTGAAAAAAACAACTTGTGTTTAGTAATATGTATGAATGAATAGATAGAAGAAATGATTGTTTGAAAGTTTACTTAATGTACTATATAAACAGTTTCAAAAGAATAAAATGTGGAATTTGAATTGTTTATTAATGAATGAATAATTGTATTATTGTGGTACTAATTGATGTGCATTATTGTTTGCAGTGTGTAACAAGAAATTTTTATTTCAAGTATTATGGCTTGTTTAGTCTTAAGGATTTCACAATTTGAACTTTGTTTAGTATGCAGTGATAACACTACAGAACAGGTTGCGTACAATGTACATTTAAGAAACTGATTAATCTTTATGAAAGAATGATTTTAGTGTATTGCAACGTGTAAAGCATAATATCATAATTGGTATTAGACATCTCTTTTCCTCCAGTCTGCTCTGCAAAGGCTATACAGTGATCTTATAGCTAGGGAACAGGCATCTCACTTTGATCCCAGTGCAATACCTAGTCACACCATGTGGGATTTGTGGCCAACAAAGCTGCACTGAGGCAAGTCTTTCAGGGATTCTCATGATTTCCCTTCTATACATTTCACCATCCACCCCATTGTTGCCAGTACAGTGCCACATAACCCCAGTAGTTGATACAGCATAATTTAGTGACTTTACCCATTCATCTGTTCTGTGGTTCACACGCTGAATGAATTACATAGGTTTTTTCAGGTGCCATTTGCTGCTGTTGCAATTTATATGATCACTTTATTTTTCCCAAGCAGACATTAAATGTGTAAATACCAGTGCATGACATTTTTGATGATGTTGGGTGTTGGCAGTCTGTGCAGAAGTGTAATTTAAGCATGTTTATTTTGTTTGAGGTCTACGGAAGTTTAATCATGTTATTTATTGCAGGTGTCAGTTTTGTGTTTGTTCTAGAATTATGAATATTCAGATATGAGAAACATTTAATCAGATTGTTAATATGATATATTAATGTACATTTTTTGCTCCAAGTTCAAATAAATGTGAGATTTGTACATAACAAAGTTGACACTATGAAACCTCTGCCCTGCCTTTTGTAGAGCATATTAAATAATACAGTTGAGCAAAATTTGCCGCTCTGACTATTTTTTTGTTATATGCTTCAGCAGCCACAGAATAATCAGTTCTTTGTACTAAGCTTTACTAAGACCATGTAATTTATTTCACAATTAAATTGAGACATGAACAAATTCTGAAATTTCTTATCTTATTTAATTCAGAAATTGTCTTGTCTGCATTCTAAAACATTAAAATGAAGGCAACTAGAACAACAGAATTAGATGCAAAGAAAATAATATAACAAAGAACTTTATTAATGACCTATTACTTATATTGTTAGGGTGTTTCAATGAAGGACTTTGTTAAGGTGTGATTATGTAACTTGAATCCAGGAAACAAGAAGTGCATAGAGAATTCTGGTGGATGAATATCCTGGAATGTTGTCAATCGAAACACCAACAAATGTGGTTTCTTTAGTTGTATCTTTAAGGATGTGGTGTGGATCTAACTAGTTCAGAATGGGATCTACTGATGGGTTTTGGTGTTAGTGTTAACACTTTATCACCTGATACTGGAGAGTTAGTTTGTACTATTATTTAGGAGGCAACTATCAGGACTGAGATTTCATGAATTTTTCTGGTAGCAGAGAATATATTCTAGGTATGAATGACTAAGAACATGGATTTTAATAGATCAAACAATCTGTAAACAAAATTCTGAGCAACATATTTCTTCTTCACAATGTAGATCTGGCTCAATCTGAAATTGTTCCCATACTTATGTTTAAAGATGGTAGAACTCTGTACTTCTTACACAATAAATTGCATAAAGTATTTCAATAATATCATCTCACTATATTAATCCTTTCACTGTTTGCCAAACATTTTGGAGTTCCCACCTGTGATCACCAAAATCAATAAAAATCCATTTCACATACTAGTTTCAAGTTGTCATGAAACAATTACAAACCAATGCAGTCAATAGATGCTTAACATTTGCTGTTCTTTTACTAAGATTCAGATATGCAACACTTGATAGTAAACAGAAATCCTGTTGATAGAAGATATTTTATTCTAGGAAGATACTTGCCTGAACCACACAGAGACAATAGTGCAAAATATATATTGTCAGAAACAACCAAAGTGTTTTAGTGCGCTAGTTTTCTCACATTGAAATTGCTGGAAGTTCTGAAATTAACTCATTGATTTAAGGATGCAGTGAAGGCCATTGAATGACTATTTTTGTCAGTGTTTAGCTTGATGTGAGTTACTTATGCATGTTTACAGTATCACATCTTTTCCACATTATGCTGACAGTACAATTTTCCTTTGTTTGGCACTAACACAGAATTCCTATTTGTGTTAGAAGTAACTCAGTCCCGGAATTAAATTTAATCTAATATGTAAGAGTATAAGTAATGCAAATTATGCTTCATGGACTATAAAGCATCGAAAGATTATTTTCAGCTAAAGTACAAGTGAGACACAGAAATGTGTAATTTTTGTAAGCATTCAGAATTGAATTTGCATTACTTCCACATTTGCAATACAGAAAGGTAAATTGCAATACGTTACTGTTACATCTCTTGATATAGCATGATTCATCCATATTATGTATGAATTCAAGAGATGTTGAACGTGTTATTCTTTGCAGTGTAAAGAATATTTCATCTCATCCCTATATGCTATGATTGGCTTGTAATGCATTCAAAATGTATTATGTCTATAATTTATTGACTGGTATGGTATATTTGTGTATACATATAAACAATATGTTACTGGTGTTACTCATAAAGTATGACATATTAATCTTCTTTAATGGATTTACTTTTATTTGATACTGATTCTGTAGGAGAAGTTTTCTGATGTTACTATTAACCAATTCATTCATAAGATTGTTGTAATCCATTTGACCACAAAGAGCATTTTTTAATGTAATGGACATAAATTTAATCCATAAAATGTAATTCAGTTTAGCATAATTACTATCTTAATCACAGGTTTGTAAAGTGATAAGAATTTCAGTAGTAACATTACCACATGTATCAATTATAAATGCTTTTTTATTTTATTCATAATCAGATAGTATGAGGGATATAAATTTTTAAATTGATCTTCCCTAGACATATTGCATTGTTTTCAGGTGTTGAGTCATGCACACCTGTTGTGGGTTACTTCTTGCTTCTTCTTCCCCTTGTATTTGCCAGTAAGCAGGATAGGCCAGACTTTTCATGGCATGATAATCTGTAATGTAGGAGTACTGAGCCCTTGACACCATGTCAAGCTAGGCATCTATGGGAGGGTACAATTTAAAGTATTGTAAATGAATTTGAACCTTGAGTCATAGTACCTCTAGGGGTTTCCATGTTTTTTATTTTTAACATTATTTTAATGTCTGCTGTTTGAATATTGAGACTATTCACGAAAGCAAGGCTCTAAAATCTGTCAAAAGGAGATGCAGTTATTTATGTTCTGTAGGTTTACAGCTGTGAGAGGTGTTGGGGAAGTATGTACAGTTATTCATGTAATTGGTTTTTGTTCTAGTAAATTGCCTGTCGACTATTATTCCTGTTGGACTATTTGTATTTATTTAGTGAGCTGTGCAGAAAAGTCATATCACGGTTAATGGAAATTATAATTTGTGATTAGTAACATATGTGTTTGTAAAGAGTCTGTAAATTATAGACAACTGAATGTTGGTGTGTTTTGAATGAAGTTGTGCATGCTGGTCCCTTAACTGTATTTTGGGAATAGGAGATTTTTTATGGAAATATTTCTAATGTTATGGTTGGAAAAATTGTAACTAATGTGTTTACCACCAAATCATTATCATACACTGTTAGTATAATTATTACATCTTATGTCTCTCTAAATAAGAATTCAGCTTCTCATGCTCCTAATTAACAACTGGACCATTTTGCAGATGCTAAATACATGGGGTGATGCAGTGCTAGTTACCCAACCCATGAAATGCTGGCTTCTAGTAGATTTTGAAGGCTTACTGTATGAGGTTGGAGCTTGTATGGCTCTTGGCTGACTAATTTCTGGAGAATCTGGGTAAAGTGATGAGATTTCGTAAAAACATGCTGTTATGGCAATTTTTTTTATTGATTGGTGTCCGCTTTGCATTCGGCCGTTTGGCCACGCAGGCTGGTGAACCGGCGGATAGAGCAACGGCAGGAGCACAGCATCACCCACACGGAGATTACACAGAGGTATCGCACTGCACTAATAATCACGCAGTCATGCATGTTTGCACATCACTTACATGCATCATAGTAAGCTTCCTTGCATGTGTCTTACAACTTGTATTGAGGGTTGTCACCATCTTTTATATTTTCCAAATATCATACAAATATTTGTATCATATTTAATATTTTTTTTGTTAGAAGTGAATGTCAGAACAGGTCATGACTTCTTCCAGAGTCTTTCCTGATTTACTATTACCATAAATTTGAGTCACAGTAAACTGGATAAAGAGTCTTTAAAGATGTATCATAGCCATTGATATAATTAAGGAGAAGAAAAAAAGAAGATGTAAGTAATCTTCAGTTTGAAGCTGTAGTTGTCTTGAAATAAAAATATTATATTAGTTTCAGAGTCAGTTTAATGTTTGTAGTTTGAAAGCCTGAATTAGATGGCAAATGTCCCTTCACTTGCTGTTGTATATGCAGATTAAGCGTTGTGATTGATTTATTTTTAGAACTCTTTCTTTGAGCACGTTTTGAGTTGGTGTGAAGGTATTTGTAAGGTAATATGTATGTAATATTTAAGTGATAATTCCTTTTATCACATTATTATAGTTCCGTGTGTTTAAGTGCCATTTATAACATGCTTTAATTGTTGTTTTGTAAATCTGTCAACATTTGATGAAGATGCCATTGCTTGGAACATTATAACATGATGTTTAAGCGTGTTTGTGTGTACTCGTGCCTGGTTTAATGAAAGGAATTCCTTAAAATTCAAGTATAGTGTATGTGTACATGTAAATTAAATACTGAAGTATTTTTTCTTCTTAAATGCCAGGTATGGTCACTTGAGTGCCAGTGATTATTTTATTTTGTTTAATTAATGTACTCGCAGGCTACAAGAACTTGTGAAGCATTTGAATGGTGAACTGTTTCCATCCATCAGTAAATAGAATGATGCGAGAACTGTAACTTAATGTACATGTCTGTTTCAGGAGAGTGCTGCAGGAAAAAACCCCTGATATGCCACAATATACGTAAGTATCATTTCCAGGAATGTTTTTTCATATTCAATTTATTATTCTCGGTATAACAAATTAAAATTATGACTTCGCATGGTATATGATTGGTATAAATGGAGTGAAGCTTTGTTCCACAACTTATGATTGAAAAGCAAATCAGATGGTATTGTTAGGTTACTAAAGTCTAGGAGGCTATGGTGGGCTGGGTATGTAGCTAGGATGTAAAAGACAAGGTGTGTGAATATGGGATTCTTTTGCGGAACTCTCTTAAAAAATTGCTGCTTGAAAGATCGAAGAACAAATGAAAGGATAACATTATGGTGGATCTTAAGGAAGAATGTTATGAGAATAGGAAGTGGATGGATGGAAAAAACCTGCCATAAGATTTTTTTTTACTATTAAAATGCATGACACAAACAATGGCAGCTGAGTTTCAGGCACTGCAAGTACAGTCGCATGCCCTCGAAAGCCAATCAGCTTGTCACTCACTTGATAGCAGTGTTGTTTGTTTTAGATGATTGGTATATTAAAACATGGAGGGTCTCCATAATGCTGAGAAAGTTGATATAGCTTCTCCATTTGGTTTTCCTAGTTCTCTTTGTTAATTCTGAAACATATTTTGTTTTTGTTTATCAAGATGCCTGAGATGCTAGATTTCTGTTGAACTGCTATTGATATGTAATAAGAAATAAACAAACTAGAAGCTTTAAAATTAGGTGTGGTATCATGAAATTTAATTGGTATATGGTGTAGAATGTGAGAGTTGGGTTGTTAATAGGGAATAATGAAGGTGTTCATGCTGACACCGCCATATGTTGATTGTTGCAGAGGGCAGCCAGAGCTGCAACAGACTAGTTCATATTCAGTGGATGTGACGTACCATCCAACAAATGGCCACCCGGACAATCACTCGCCAAATTCCTCTCACCTGTCAGTGCAGAGTGGCGATGCTGCAACTCTTGTGTCTCGCACGCAGAAGCAGCAGACTACACAGCAGGTAAGGCATTTTTACAACAGTACATTAGATATTCATAGATTTCAGGTAAGAAATAGACTTTCTGAACATTTTAACTGAATTAGGAACTCCCATGAAAATTATACCTTATGTACGGTGTTTAGTAATGTTTTTACAGATAAAAAATTGCCCTTGTTTCAAAAGATGTTTGTGTTCGTTGTATTAAACCTTTATGTTTCATTGTCAGGAAGTTGATATTTTTTGTGTTCATTGTGCACCTGTACATATAGTGTTATAATTATTGTTATTGTTGCTGCACTGCCTTCAGGTGACAACGTTGACGAAAGTTGTGCGAGAAGTCCATCATGTGGGGCCAGATGGACAGCCTGTGGACTATGTGGGTGTACCTTATTCTGGGGTTACTGTTCTTCCCACATCCACAGCACCTTCTAACTACCCTCACACGCAGTTTGCAAATTATGAAATCCTGGCCAGTCAGGAGCCATATCCTCCCTTGGATCCAGGTGAGTCTAAGTTACTTTTTCTTACCACACTGAACCTTCCACAGTGTTAATAATGAATTTATTTACGTAATTAAAACTGTTATACTTGAAAGGAGAGCGATTGCAAGTAAACACAGAGTTGAAGCAAGAAAGCCTGCTTGCTATAGGTAAATGTTATTTCACAAAACAGTGTTTAATAACATTTAAACAGAATGGTAAGATAGCAAACAAGAATTGCTCAAAAGCTTCCTAATGAGTATGAAGAAAACATTTTGGTGCTTCGTATATATCAGTACCATAGTTGGAACATTGTCGTTCAGATCATGTAGATCAGTGGTCCCAATGCGGTGCCCACGGGCGCCATGGCACCCGCCAAGGCTTTTTTTGGTTGCCCGCGATGTTACGGAAAGAGGTTATACTGAATAATGAAGGCCGTTCAACCATGAACATTATAAAATCAAAGCGCAGATCTTGACTTACTGACGCCCATCTTGACGACTGTTTGCGAGCAGCAACATCATCCTACACTCCCAAATTTGAAAAACTGGCCGATGAAATGCAGTGCCAAACATCACACTAACTTGCCACTTGAGTAATAATAATTGTACTTATAAAACTACGTATTTTTGATTACACGGTTTCTTGTAAGATTAAACGTCATGTTGTTTTGCGTATTATTTGGTGTCCATATCTTATTTGTCCAGAGAAAAGAAAATTTGGCTTTGTTAATTGGTTGGTGCCCGTCATGATCTCATAAACTCTCAAATGTGCCCCTAGGCACAAAAAGGTTGGGGACCACTGTCTTAGATGGTCAAGTATGGTATCGTGTTTAATAATGTTTATGCTGTTGCAGCTTTGCTGGTTATTGCATGTGCTTGTGTAATGCCTCTGTAGTGGTACTAGTCATATTAATATAATTTGTCATTTTTTATCCTTGGTTTTATTTTCATTGAAGTAATTTTTTCTTAAAAGACTGTAAAGAATGTTGGGTGAGCTTATTATTTGGGGACACAGTACTGAACAAATACAGTATATATTAAATAACTCCTTTTTCATGGTGTAGTTTTATGAAGATAGTGTTTTTTTAAGAGAATGTAATTATGTAACGGTATATTATTTATGTGTTTGAATGCAGTGATGTAAAATGGTAGACAGCTTTAAGAATGCATAGTTTGGGTTTCATGATTTTAATAATAAGGTTAGGTAGACTGAAGAACCTAAATATATGGCTAAGTGATGACTTTTATTTTTTACCGTGTGGAAGGGATTTGAAAGAGCTGAGGAATATGAAGACTTCACCAAGAAATAGAAGTGTAACTAATGCTCAGTTTATTTGCATGTGAATAAATAAAGTTGGGAGCACTGGAATCAAGAACAACAATCCTATTGATTTATAGATGAATTCCATTCCATCTGAAAATGAATTTATACCTTACACGATGACTCATAATTGTAATGGAATATGACTGCATTATGTAGTATAAGTGAATGGAAGCAACAAAGTTTTGTGTGTGTATTCAGTATATAATTATGTAAAAGAAGTGTTGGTGGCAGAATTCTTTTAGTTATTAGATTTTATGTGATTACTATTGTAGTATTCATCATCATCATCTGTGGCTTCACAACTGAGAGTGGGTCTTGGCCGGCTCTTTTGGAGGTTAATTAATCTATTTAGACATTTGGTAGGACTCCTTGGATGAGTGATCAGCCCGTCATAAGGCCTCTACCTCAGACTGTGTGGCCACTGTGACAGTCACTAGTGTAGTATTTATTACCTGTCTAAATTGGCAGAAATGAGCCTTCTTTGTGTTGAAAAGTAATACAATTTATTGCAGCATTATCTTTGCACATCACTCTGAAAGTACACAATTTATAAGATTTCTTTATATAGTAAATTAATTGTGAAAGTATCTTCATAGCAACTGAAGCAAGATTCCTGCCATATTCACCAACGTAGAATCAACTGCCTGACGCCAGACTCTGCTAAGTGCAGACTCCACTGGACCCCATTGTAGGCCTCACCATAGCTTTGTTTGCCAGAACCTAATTTTAGTTTTTCCACATTTCTTTAACTCGTACAGTGAAGTGTGATGGGCGTAATTCTTATGAAGTGCAGATAGTGAAGTCAGAGATGTGTTCTGCCGAGTATGTAACTCTGATCGAGGAAAATTGTCTACAGACGGTAATTTAGCTGCCAGAGAAGTGGATGGAAAGATTATGTATCTCAGAAATTATTTTTGAGGGTGGGAGGTTTTTTTATAAAATGGCTCAGGGTTATTTGTAATGGTCACCTTTGAAAATAGCTAATCTAATCTTTGAGTTCTATAAGAAAGAGTTTATTATAATTATCTGTATAAGAATCGTTAAGCATGTATGGTATAGGTTCAGAAAATGTCAGATATCATTATTGAAATTCTGAAAATTAAAAGCAAAAGAACGGTGAGAATCATATGCACTCTCAGCAGAATGCAGAGTTATTAATTATTAAAATAGGTGGTATGTGTGCTTACTATGGGGCAGTAGAGTTTGAACATGTGGCCATGCATTCAAGGATTCTTGATGAAATTTGGAATTGCTGCATGTTGTTTCAATTAATTTCAGCTCGGCGGTATCCGGAACCTTATCGCCAAACCTACCAAGATTATGAACAATATCCACCAAGGCCAGAGTATCCTTATCCAAACCCACCATATCCTGGTGCCTTCCCAGCTTATGGGGACAGTGCCAACTATGTGGAACAGCCTGGCTATGGAGAGCGACCGCCGACTCCACCTAGTCCCAGTGAGCGCAGTGAATCGCCCCCACTGCAGCAGGCATTACAGCATGGTAAGTAGTTGCCTCTCAAAGTTACATATGATTTGTTTTTATGGAAGAAGTACTTTAAGCTCTATATTTTTAAATGTATAAAGGAAAATGTTAAAAATAAATTTAATGAGTTGGAGCCGGCCGCAGTAGCCACGCGGTCTGAGGTGTGGACCTCGTGCGCCTGGCTGCTGGGACTGCGGGTTCGAGTCCCACTCAAGGCATGGACGTTTGTCCGCGTCCGTTCTCTTCCAGTCTTTTGGATAAAGACTGGCTACGGAAGGCAAGGTGAAACCACCGTGGTATCTTTGCAAGACTAACCCTGTAATGGGATGGTGACCAATCCGTAGGATTGTAGAGTAAAAGAAAAAGAGTTGGAAAGGACATGGAAGGAAGTCAGTGTTGTGTAATTTATGGTACTATCCTGACATTTGTCTGGAGATACTTAAGGAACTGTGAAACACCTCAGTCTTCAGGCCAAGATATGAACACAGGACCTCTCAGGTATGAAGTAAGAGGGCTAATCACTCAGCCACAACATTTGGTTTGATGGTTGTATTTTGTAATTTCTGTAAGAGTCAAAGATTGGAAATTGTGAGAAATCCCTTCAGGTGTAATTCTTTATTAAATAATGTGTATATCGTAATTTTCAATTCTCAACACATTCTTCAGCTGCTTTCAGCAATTAATTTTGTTCTGTTGTGCTGCTGGTGTTAGATGCCTCATGAGTAAGGAACTCGTCTAATATTTTGACATATATAAAAGTTGCTGACTGCTGATTATTTTGAAGATTATCAAAAGAGTTTTATGTATAACCAATGCAAGAATGATCTATTTATTGATTTTGTTGCTTCTGTTCCCATGTGCTTGAACCTGGCCGCATTTAACCTTTCATGTAGTCAGTTTGTATGGTATTGGCATTTTCTGCGTAAGCGTTGTTAATACTGATAGTAATTGCGAAATATGTAAGTGGATCCTTTGAATATGTGTGCAAAGATTTTTGCACACGTATTTGTATGCTGTTTACTTTGTCATCCTTATTGCAAGAGGTCTGTAGTAATATAAGTCGGCCACAACATGGTGCATGCAGAATGGGTTATCCTGCCATTAACAGCATACTGCTAATTTTAATTAGGAATATGTCACTGCCATGTTAAGGGTACAAACAGGATGTGCAGATAGAGGGCTTCAGGGACCACAGACAATCGTTCTCTACCCCAGCATGAAATTCTAGGGCCATATTGTACATAAAACATGATTGGAAACGTGTACTAGTTTGCGAGGAAAAACGCGACATAGCTCGAATTTCTCTTGTGGTCTTCGCATTAGTTCTAGTATGCTATGCAACTGAATCGGCTACCACAGGACATTGACGTCCAAGTGAACTACAGTGTATAAATAAGTAAATAAAAAGTAACTTGAATAGCACATAAAAAGCGTCTAGAAGCAGAGTAATACAAGAAAGAATAAGGGCTAGCGCGCACGAGCGGTTTTTCTGCCGCAACCGCATAATTCTTGTTGCCTGTGCACACGAACGGTGAAATAAACGCATTGTCTGCGTTTTCTTTTCAGTTGGGAGCTGGATTTTTTGGAGACAATTGGCGTGTGCTCTAGGCTGATAAGTCGAGGCATGAATTTTGTTGAGACTGTCGTCGTGTGCGCTTTATGCTAAGAGTAAGGGCGAAGCGTATAAATAAATTTTGGTTCCCTCCACTTGTAAGTCAAAGATTGTTGAAAGCCCAATTTCACAAGTTATATGAGGACCTGCCTATGTATCCAAAGAAATTATTCAGATACTTTTTGTTTTCAAGTTGGCTCGAGTTCGGCAGTAGAGCTTCACAGACTTCTATACAGAGTTTCTCTTTAGTTTTTGTCACTGTACTCCGATATGGTCGGATTGTACAGAGCCGGCCTTTTCTCATATTCAGTTACACCAAGGTCGGGCAAACAGTGGTCGCCGTGCGGCTGTTTCGCCGCTCGTGCGCTCACATAGGTAGGGTTAGTATCGTATGCAAATGGTTGATTGTGTTGTGAAGTCGACAATTGAGCGCCTTTAGTCGAAAGTCGTTGGAGAACAGAGTTCGTGGTAGTGGGTGCGGTTTAGCCTTTGTTCAATTTTGTTTTTATTTTATGTAGATTTTACATCTACAACATTATGATTACATTGACATAAAACTGCGTTGTAGCATTTTTCATACTAACTCAACAATATTAATTTTTGGAAGTTAACTGTGGGGCAGAAGACTTCGACGATTTATATACTCTTAGTGGTCACGCTGGCTATTTTCTGACCTGGCATCTTTCAGTAAGCCACAACAGCTTCTTGCAGCCGTGGACTGTTGTGTGACTGACGGAAATAAGCGTGACGAGAAATAGATTTCTGCTTGTGCAGGAGGATCGATTTCAGAATGTTACATAGACCTTATTTTAAATAAATACAGGCTCATAGTTATGTGACTATGAAACTTGATGTATCATCCAAAAGGAACATTTATTTGATGGTTTGAGAACGGAAGTGTTGGGGAAAAAGTAACAGGAGGATGAAGGAAGCTACGTACAACAGTGGGAACTTTCCACCAGATATAACAGGTCCCCTAAGTGTTGTCTCCTTTTTTAAATGAGATGGGCAGCGGGGCGTGTAATGTAGGCATGGGGGAAATGCATCCGAAATGTTTACCAGAAAATTTTAAGGGGAAGAAATGGCTGTCTTTTTAGTTGTGCCGCGTGGTCTGGTAGAAGTTTGCCGACGTTGCAGAGATGCTTGCTGCCTCCATAATCAGGTCACTCGTCGTCGTGATGATAGAGGCTGCAAGCAACTTTGTCAAACTATACGGCTCATTAGCCCAGAAGTTCACTATTCTGTTACAGATAGATTTATAACATAAGAAGATGTGAAATTCATCACAGGCTACAGATTATTTCCGCAGCCTTGACTAAACTAGTGCAAAAGGCAGTGCTTATGACAATCCAGAGCACACTACAAGGAGAGAAATATGAAGGATGTACAGTAATACCTCGGTTTCACGGTCAGCTTCCACGGCCACTCCTTACACACATGCGCGCGCGCGCACACAGACTGTTACTGCAGCTAGCCAGAATGGTTGGTGTTGTACAAGTCGGCTGTTATAATAATTATGCACGCATATAAGTCAACTTCCTTCGGAAGGGAAGTAAAGCCGGCTGCCCAATGTCGTAGATTTACGGCATGTAAAAGAACCTTACGAGCATGAACGAGATGTTTCGTAAGCAAAATTCAGCGGCCATTTCTCACCCAAGTCTCTCCTGATTCACTGCTAGATGGCTCTGGTAGTCAAATCATGATTGATACAAATTGTGCAGTCAGTGGGCTGGTCACTCACTACTCACAAATACACACTTCAGAGACTAGGAAACCTCCGAAAAAGGAGGCGGCGAGGACCCACAATTGGGTTGTAGAGCCAGGGAACAACAACACGCATATAAGTGATTTTTTCATAACCTATTTTTGTCATTTGTATCGATGTGCCTTTCACCTCGATCTTACGGACTATATTGTTAAATCCAGGTTTCACTGTATATCCGTTTTAAGTGCTTTGTGTCAAATTCGTTCGGAAATACGTACCTCTGTGAGTAGTACAGATACAAGTAATGAAGTCCATTAACCATCACTCCGTTCTGCTTATCGCCCGCCGTAATGGATTTCTCCGCGCGTTTACACTGATTGACTTACATAAAGCTGGAGTACGTTAACTGGTAAGCGATACATTATTTCTTCCTTAATTTTTTTTGATGGTTTTAAATGCGAATAGTCAGAAGCTCTCGAATATCACATGCTTGGGACGAGGAAGGAACCAGTAGACGAGCGGTGTACATACGGCTGCAGCCTTGGGTATATTTATAGCTCGAAACAAACCAATTGAATGAGGAGGAGATGGAGTTTGGAGTGTCAGTTGTGAGTAGTGGAGGATGCAGGAGTGCAGAAAGAAAGTCACGAGATGCTGGATGTGGAATATCGCGGTTTGACTTGCAGAAGTCGTCTGGATGCCGAAATCAAGTGTTTTCATTCAACTAAGCAACGGTGGGTTCTACAGATTTGCTGGCGTTTACCAAAATAAATTATTCAGTCAGTATTTGTGTCGGATTACTTACGGTTCCAGAATTTTCGACTTCCCCTATGGATATATTTCCAAATATCGACGCTTCGTCTGCAGTTTTACGTATTGTATAATCGGTTTTATCAGAAGTGGATGAGTGTAACTCTGATTTTATCCTCCATTTTTTAAGAAACGTATTTTTGTGTGTCAGAATGTTTCGTGAAATATACGGAAATACTTTTGAGTTGTTGGATTGCACAGTGTGTTGTTGAAATGTTTCCATGTATGAGTATTCATGTAAGTGAATCGTAGTGGAAATCTAATCATTGTCTTGGGTAAAACGTAGTAGTGTGTACAGAATTTATTGGAAGTTCTTGCCGTGGTTCCAAGATATCTCGCGTTCTTTCGCCCATCTTCTGCCCTAGTTCCCGTCTTTACAAACCGCGTCGTTGCTGGAGCCCATTGAGTGACTGGTACAAGGGTGATAAAAATCAAAATTAAAATGAGTGAAAATGGAGGAAAAAAGAAGTGGAAATTTTGTTAATGAAATGTTTCCTTAATATACCATATTCATGCCGTGATCATAAGGTCCTGTCACTGTTCCCTATCCTGAGCCAGATTAATCCAATCCACACGCACACCCTATTAATCTAAGATTCATTTTAATCATATCCCCTCATCTAGGTCTTCCAGGTGGTCTCTACACTGTAGGGTTTAAAATAACAAAATTGTACTATTTTCTTTTACCCCCTTGCATGCTATATGCCCCACCCATTTCATTCTCCTTTTTTTTTTGTCATCCTGTTGGCATCTGTTGAGTACAAATTATGGAATTTGTCATCATGCAGTTATTCTCTTCATGTGTCTGTCACTTTGTCTATGTTAGTTGCAAATATAAAGTACCAATTAAACAACATATGTGAGAATATCACAAAATTAAAAATCTAAAGCAAAGTCTTAATTATATTGTGCTTGGCAATGAATTTAAAGCTGTATGTTTATACCAGACTCAGTTATTTTTAGGGATTATTGATATTATTAATTAATTAATTTATAGATTACCTTCGAAAAGGTGCACCCTTCCCTCAGTCTGGATATGATGAATTGGATTCAACACTAATTCCTCCACGCCAAGATCATTACAGGATAACACCATCACCAGGAGGTCCTGTTGATCGATATGGTAAGTGAAATATTTTCATTTAGATGTGGTACTGCCATATGTTTATGGTTCTGGGCAGGCTTACTATTTGATCAGTAACTTTAATGTGCTTGATATTTGATACTACTCCACTTACTTTACATGTTCCTCAAAAGATAGTGATCAACGCATAAAAACGTGAAATACTTGCTAAAATTCCATCCTGTAACTTACTTGAAATGCTGGTAACTTCCTTAGCATTTGCAACAGCTTATTAAATTTGTATTCTGTGCAGTATGTAGAATGTATTACTTTGTGCTGAGGAAAATATGATTTTAACTGACATGCTGAGATAAAGTCATTTGCACATGCATAGATCTTTTGTTAATATTATGTTGAATCTTTGAAAGTACTATAAAGTTTAAAAGTAGAAAAGGTTCCATCACTGGTACTTATGAAGCACCATTAAGATGTAGGGGCAGTGAAATTATAATTCCACTCATTCGTCATGTGGAGCTGAGTTGTCGGCATTATGCCCTGTCTACTTATCCCTAGACATCCATTGAATAAGAGGGTGGGTGGGCAGACAATAGAGCCTCCGTCATCAGGGAGGCAGTATGACCTCTGAAACGTTGGTTAACATCGACCAGACTACACAGCGCAACAACCCAGAAGACAGAAATATTCATACTCACCACTGTGAAAACCTCAAATCTTACGAGTATTTTGTTGTTGGCACTCAGATATAAGGAATGTGGGGCATTTCACTACATGTTGAAGACTTTATAGCTTGGGATTCTTTTGATTTAGAGATGTACGTTAGGGTTCTGTGAACTGGTAGTGGTGAGACCTTCAGAACATGTTGGCATAGATGGTCTTGTCCCTCAGTAAGTTGGGAGGAAGAGATTCTAGTATGCAATATTGTATATCAGTCTCAGTGGGGAATATGTATGTCCACCCACACGCTTTGAAAATACCTACAAAATATTATTTCATGTTATATGGACACATATACCTAAAAATAGTGTATTAATAATCAGGATGAAAAGGGAAGTAAAATGTGTTTCAATGCTGTGTAATTTCTGGGACTTTGTGAGTCTGTAACTGAACTGCAGGAAGCCAACATAATTTTCACTGTTCTTTAATTTCTTGTAACTGAAAGGAATTTATAATACCATTTTTTTGGTGTAATCTTGTCAGACCCTGATCTCAATATCATGTTAGAATTACACAAAATTGTTACATGATTGGTATCTTAGTGATTATATTTGTTTTGCAATTTTAATAGATCAAATTACTCATCCCTGGAACATAGATGACTCAGGGGAACCTTCACAACTACCACATGGTAGGTTATTTGAACTATGACTAAATTTGTGCAGACCTTTTGATTTGTAACCTTAGCTTCATTGAATCTTTAAGTTAGAAATACTGATTTTGCATGACGTACCTGCCAGTCATTGAAGTTCTGCTTATATTATTCATTTGAACATTGATAGCAATACATAGATGATAGCCTAGTTGGCAGTGTGCTCTTGCATGTTGAATTTGCTTTGTTTCTTGATTGTAGGAGAGGATCCCAAACTAGTGTATGGGTATGCTCCCCCTTCTCCATACGGCACCGTTCCAGCCGCATATGGTAGCAATGGTGCAGACCCCAGATTGTATGAAGAAAATGGCCCACCTCCAAGAACTATCTTTGAGGATGAGGAAGAACTACGAAAACATCTCTCAATGCATACCTCCATTCCTTCTCCTTCAGTTGATGATGAACAAAGGGGTTGGTTTTAATTTTTTGTCTTATTTTGGCTTTGTGTTCATCATTAATTTGCTTCAGTAGTATCCTTGCCTTCTTTACCAAATACAGTATTATAATATTAATATACAGACAATAGAAGTGTTGTTAAATTGTTTAAATTAAGTTTTATATTTTTGTTCCAGTTTCTTGCATTCCTTAAAAGCATTAATTTATTAATACTATTTATTCAGCCTGATTTGATAAAGTTGTTCACAATGAGTAGTGCCAGTGCTACCATACAGTTGCCATCAGTTATAAATCATTTGGACTTCTGATATGTATCCTTTGCTCTGGGGATACAAGTATCATCGCAATATGTCAGCAGAATACAAGCCCTATGTTCCTATGTTATGAGGTATCTGTTTGTTTCATTAGAACATACGTCATATCCATCTGTGAAATAATTTTAATTTATTGAGATAGTACAGTAGTAATATCTGGATTAACCTTATTATATGGTAATAAGGGATTTAAATCGTGCTGTGGGGCTGCTGGCCAAACTGACCGAGGTCGATGGATTTTTAAGGGTGGTTAAATCTGTAGCACAACTTCCTTTGGAGGGGAAGTAAAGCCAGTGGTCCCATGTCATAGATTTACTGCATGTAAAAGAACCTTACGAGCATGAATGAGATGTTTCTTAAGCAAAATTAAGTGGCCATTTCTCACCCAAGTCTCTCCTGATGGCTCTAGCAGACAAATCAGGATTGAGTAAAAATTGTGCAGAGGCAGTGGGCTTGTCACTCACTACTCTATAAATGCACACTTCAAAGACAAAGAAACCTCCCACATGGGAGGAAGCCACGGCTTGGCTTCAGGCTGTTGCACCATAGAAGAAGAAGAAGAAGAAGATTTGCTATTTTTTATTCATTTATTTGCCTGCTTCTGTTGTCCTAAACGAAGTTATTTTGTTGTGTAATATTGCATATCTTTGAGGACATTGACTGAGGAGTTTGTTTCAGGAATGCGGTGGCGTGATCCAAACCTTACAGAAGTTATTGGCTTCCTCAATAATCCAAATAATGTAATAAAAGCAAATGCTGCAGCATATTTGCAACATTTGTGTTACATGGATGATCCAAACAAACAGAAGACTAGATCACTGGGTGGAATTCAACCGTTGGTGGTGTTACTAAATCATGACAGTCCAGATGTCTATCGAAATGCATGTGGAGCATTAAGGTATGTATTTCTTTTAAAAGTGGTTTTGTTAACCCTTCCAGTACTGTGCGTGTGTTCGCTATGGTATAACAGAGTCTCATTATATATAGTTCTTTCAGTCTCTTAGCACAGTACACTCATGTATTCATTTGTAGGCTTCTACCATCTGTTGAGATCAAGTGGAACTATAAGTTTATGGATGCTATTGTTTAAAGAAGAAATTGAAATAAATAGCTGCTTGTTTACAGTGTGGTCAACATGGCTGACTGACATGTAGTGGCAGACTTTTTTAGGAAACATTCCTAATGAATAGCTTTAGGTATTGTCAATGAAGTGTTTATGAACAAACAGAGTGGTTGATTCTACTGACAGATATGTTTTTATTCCTGAAGAACTTTGTAATTCTGATGACAGAGATAATTTTACTAGACATACAAAGGAGGAACAGAAGTTGTCTTTAACTTAAAGGAGTGAAAAAGAATTTGGACCAAAGTACACATGGTTGGTGGTTATCTTATTGGTATAGATAGGATTTATTTCTCTGTAGATTAAATATTTAAGCCACCAGAAGGCAAAGACTGAGTGTGTTTGGATTTGAAAATTTGGGTGTTATGAAATCCCCTACCCCCTTTTGTGTGTGTGTGTGAGAAAATATCAGATGCATAGAAAGCCTTTATAACAAGCTAAGCTTCTCTGCCTATTCAGTGTAGAGTTTTTAGTGTCTTTTTCCATTCTTGGATTGCTACTATAAATTCTGTATATCACTATAACAGTGTATGCAATTGGTGCCATGCAATTTTAATGTCAGTAATTTCATTTTCCAGGAATTTGTCTTATGGGAGACAAAATGATGAAAACAAAAGAGCTATAAAAAATGTTGGTGGCATTCCTTCTCTTATAAACCTGTTACGGAAATCTTCCGACGGTGAAGTGAAAGAGCTTGTAACAGGAGTCCTGTGGAATCTGTCATCTTGTGAGGTAAATAATTTGTGTCAGAAATACTGATATTGATTGTATTTTGATATAGGATGATTTAAAAATTGAAATATGGAGGAATGTCCAGGGAATATAGTACTGTTTAACTGTTTACTTCAAAGTATGTCAGCACTGTTAATGAAACTTAACCTGTCATTTTCTTGGTGCTGGGTCCAACAAGTGAGTGTTGTACGGACAGTCTTTGTGCTAAAACATTCTGACTACTAATGTATTAACTATTCCTATCATCAGTTTTTGCATCCAGGTAGAAATTGCTGTCAGCGGCTACTTCCATAGTTTTTTTTTTTATGTAAAACACCACATGTTTATCTTAAAAAAAGTAGCTTGGTTTTATTTTGGTATTTATATTTCTGTTCATATGTCAAATATAAGAATAGAATAGAATAGAATTTATTTACATTCCATAGATCCTTTGTAGACCTAAGCCAAGGATGTAGACTATGTCATAATACAAATACATTGTCATTAGAAGTCCATTGCATCCACATGTCAGTAAAATATATTCTTTATTTAAAAAATGTAGGTGACAGAATTATATAAACTGCTGGCCATAAATAATGGCGTATCATGTTTTGTTTTTAATTTACATCTCTCTCTCTCTCTCTCTCTCTCTCTCTCTCTCTCTCTCTGCAGGATCTGAAAAGGTCAATAATTGATGATGGACTATCAGTTGTTGTAAACAATATTATCATTCCACATTCGGGTTGGGATCCAACATCTGCTGGGGAGACGTGTTGGTCCACAATATTCCGGAATGCATCTGGTGTTTTAAGGTAAGCTGACAAAATTCAAACAATTTTTTTTACCTCGTCTATTAAGCTCTTTAGATCTTTTTGTAAGAGTAAATAAAAAAATTGAGGGAATATTTCAGTTTGGTACTAAAGAGCAAACAGTTATAAATTGTATGACGGACCAGTAGACAGGCTCGTGTGAACACTGTTGATTTTCAGCTTTGCTTAAAATATGCCAATAGAAAAGTCCAAGAAAACAGGAAGTAGAATGATATATGTCAGTCAGTTTCTGATGTATACTAATGATGTTAATTTATTGCTTTGAGGAAGTTTGTATATTGGTAAATGCAGAGAGACTACAGGACAAAATCAGTTTTAAGGGTACGTAATAAGTCCTTTGAAAATTTGCGAGTTCAAATATTGGGCAGCAAATAAATTAAGAACAGGTTAAATTCAGGCAATTTGTGAAGGGGAGATACCACTTAGAACATTTACAAGGGGATATAGTGTTTAAGAGAAAAATTCTATCCTGGCTGAGCTGTCATGGTTCACATTGTAGCTTTTACTGCAAAAGAGAAAAGAACACTTCTGCCAATTAAACAATTCCTGTAAGATTTGAGGTTTTTACAGCGGTGAGTCTGAAGATGGCTGTCTTCTGGGTTATTGTGCCATGTAGCCTGGTAGAAGTTTACCGATGTTTCAGAGGTCCTTGCTGCCTCCATCATCAGTGCAATGAGTAAACTTCTACCAGACTACATGGCACAACCACCCAGAAGACAGCCATCTAAAACCTGAAAATGTAAAATCTGTATTGGAGTACAGATTTTCAATGTTAATTTTCAAAACTTGATATTCTGAGTGCTCATAGCTGTTCTGAATAAATCTGATGAAGATGCTAACACTATATTCCATGCCTCAGTCAGAAGAGCCCCAGAAAAGTTAGCCTGTTATTAAGAAAAAGAAAGCTTTAAAAAGTATAGTTTAAATAAATTACATATAGCATAATGTACAGACACCTGAAAAATAGTATCTTTATCTAAATGGAAAACTAAGCTAGCATTTGTTGATTCCAATTTTTAAGCAAAAAGTAAGCACCTTCATTGAAAACATTTAACTGTTCATCAGCTTGTTAGTTCTAAAACATGTTTCACTGTTTGTATGACAATCACCACTCAGTATACAGATTGATGCTCCACAACAAAAGTAAAAGATTACATACAGTTTTATAAACTCACTGGCTGATATTATGATCATAGTGATCACTTCCAGAAAATTTTCCAGACACAACAGCAATTGCTCTATTCAGGATTCCATTGGCTACCAAACACTCCTTTGGATGAAAATACTTGTAGTAATGTGTCCGCACCACACAATCTAAGAGGGAAAAACCACAGCTACAGTTAGAAATGACTTTATAATACAATGACCATATATTGAAACTTCTTGCTGCCTCCATCATCAAGACAGAGATTAATTAATCACCATGACAATGGAGGCAGCAAGCACCTCTGAAACATTGGTGTACTTCTATCACACTACACAGATCAAAAACTACATCTGCGCTTGTTCTCTTTTTTAATTTAGTGATGCTGAGAATGTTTAGATCAGTCTGTTCATAAACACTACTCTACTGGTGTATTAATAGTTTCAATGTATATATAATCAAAAAAAAAAAAATGTATCTTAGAATGTAGTATCCAACCACATCTTCCAGTTCCTATCAGTTTCTTTAAGCAATTATTTGTCTAAGCAAATATTCTCAGATTTCTGTCTTCTGGGTTATTGCGCTGTGTAGTCTGGTCGATGTTAACCAACGTTTCAGAGGTCATACTGCCTCCGTCATCAGGGCGATGAATCGACCAGACTACACAGCGCAACAACCCAGAAGACAGAAATCTTCATAAACAATTCCTTTTATAAGAAATTCTGTTAAGGATATTGGACATCTCTTTGTTATAATATTTTACATTTAAAGATTTCTTTGAAAAAAGTGTGTGAAGATAAATTTGTTTTTGTTGTAATGGAACTGCATGATACTATTAAAATGTTAATAGAATTTCCTAATCTTTTCAGAAATGTTAGTTCTGCAGGGGAGTATGCAAGAAAGAAGTTGAGGGAATGTGAAGGTTTAGTGGATTCATTACTTTATGTTGTGAAATCAGCCATAGAAAAATCCAACATTGGCAACAAGAGTGTCGAGAACTGTGTTTGTGTTCTACGTAACTTATCCTACAGATGCCAAGAAGTGGAGGATCCAAACTATGACAAACATCCTCTTCCAACACAAAGCAGAGTTGGAGCACAGCCGAAAGGTATGAGATTCTTCTTTAATGTGTGCAAAATATATTGACTGCAAATATACAGTATTTGTCTATTCTTAATTTTGATTGATGGTGATAGGTAACTTCTTATATTCATACAGGGTTTCCCAAAAAGATGTATACACACAACCAGACCATTACATATGTCAGCATTGGCACTCATTGAATTAGCAAATTTAATGTAGGTGTTCATTAGCTTCATGGCACAGTTGCAGTAGTAAGCATCTTACTGACAAGTAGCAACCAAAGTTGTTGCTGTGTGTGTATATACAACTTTTTGGGATATTCTGTATATCAAGCTCATTAATCAGTTACATCAAAGGAAAACCACTCCTCTATTCAGTAATAAGGCAGCTTGATAGATCAATTCTTTGAATCGCTGTAGAACCAGTCAGGTAATGCATTTATTCTGTGTGTATATGTGGGAGTTACCACTTTGAATCCTAGCTGTGTGACTTGAGGTTTCATCGCTTATATCATTATCTCCAAGTGAATGCTGTGCTAGTACTTTGGATTCAACTTAGTCTTCTTCAGATTCACCGTTGACTTCTGTTGTGTTTGGGAGTAGGGTATTTAAATTTCAGTATTATTGGACTGCCAGCTGGACTTTAGCTCCAGGTATAATGGTTTAGCAGTATGTTAGTGTGATGTTCTGCCACTGACACCAGTTATTTTTTAAATTGTTTATAATTACTGTCATGTTGGAGGTTCTTGTAATTTCTCACTGCAGTGTTCATGTAAGTAGGGAATTAATTGTTCCTTGTTAGTAGGGACTTACTTCCTTGAATAATGTTTCCAATCTAATAATTCATGTAGTAATATAAAGTACTTAAATTAATCCAATCCTGCTTCATGTCGGAAAGTGTCTTGACATACATAAGATGCATTACGTGATATCCTATTTTCTTTCAAGAATTTTTGAAAGGCATTTCTGAAGCTGGGTTTATCCAAGGGTTCTTTGAGAGTGGGTTAGTGTGAATATCTGCTATGGGTCTTTCATGTGTGTCATATCTCCCTCAGTTTCTTGTAGTATAGTTTGTTACTGTAGTTTATAGTGATAGTGTTCCTGGGAACAATTTCACTTTTGTTGAGCCTTGAATAAGTAAACATGAAAGTGCATTGTGTTATGTGGAACATGACCTGTTACGGGCATAGTGGATTTTTATCCATTCAGTTTGCATTACTCTACACTCCATAGTGACATGTGAAAGTAGTATTTTATAACTGATATAATATTGATAGTAAAGTAACAAAACCTATTATTTAAAATTTAATTTCAAATGGTTCTTGATTTGTAGACAGTGTAATTTATTATTTAGATGGTGTGTCATTGACATTTACATAAGTGTGGTGTCCTGTCATGTATATTAAAATACGTGGAAATTGTATGATCTAAAACTTTCACAGTCAGTCAAATTAATAAAATCCTCTTGAGCTATCAGCCATGTCAAATGGTTAAAACTTGCCAACATTTCAGGGGCCATCTCTTTTCCCATCATCAGGGCCCTGGTGGGATAGAAGTGGTCACTGAAACATCAGTGAGGTTTTACCATTTGCCACTACTGACAGCCTGAGAGGATTGTATTAATGTGGGAATTACTTGCTTTATTTTTGTCATATCTTTTAAGTGATAGGATAGCAATTTTAGTTTTTTATTCTTGAAATGTCTTTTGTAGCATACAGTCTGTGCCAAGGTAAGACAATAAAAGTATGACTTATTGTCATGGTAGAATATAGTTGATTTCAGTATGTAGAATTTACATTTACTTTTGAGAGTGGATGATATTCCACCCTAACCTATATATGGGTTGTTCCAGCTTTATTCGGCCAACAACCTAAAATGTCATTTTGAAATAAAATTCATATAATAAATTTAAGTTTTATTAAGATTTCATGGAGCATGACCTTTAATTTTTAACTTGTGAACTATATAGGTAATCTTTAATAACTTATTTGTTTTGAACCTTTTGAAATTGAATGATTTGTAAGATGAAGCTTCTATTTTGGAAAGAGCTAATAAATCTGTATTTTAATAGAATGGAATGTTTGAACAATTCTAGTTGTTGAAAGCATAATGTATTCGGTGCTTATAGTACAATATATGAATCTTAAAACACATTGGTCAAATTGGACTGGTATGCCCCTCAGTCTACATTAAACTGTAGAAGTGCATGGATGCTAGAAGGATGGTAGAGTAAAGCTTGCTGAAACTGTATAAGTATACTTTCTTTTTGTTTCTTATCACTTGCAGTGTAGGTACTGGAAACATGTAATTAATTCCTATTGCTATGACTAAGATTTTGAGAAAAATCCAGATATTTGATGAACATTTTTAAAATGGTATATTTATTTGGTTTATCAGTGTGCATGTATTGTTCTGTATGGGAGAAGACAAAACTGTAATGCTTGAAAACTGAAGTGCTTGAGAGCTTAGTGTTATTGTATGTGTCAGTTACTTGGCATCTGCACACCACAGTAGTGATTTGGACTTGGCGTGATTTGTGAAATGAGATGGCGAAGCAGGTATTCACTGGTCAACAAATATTCTGCGTGGCAGTGTTCACTGAATTGTTACATGTGCACACTGCTCTTACTGTGTGAAATTAAAACGTGTTATTTTTTACTGTGGTACTGAGCAAAGCATGTTGCACTGGCATCCGTTCTTCCCCCTCCCTTTGAAATATGCCAAGATAGATGACACAAACAGTATTATGTCTATTATATCACATTTTACAGTGGAACATGTATTTGTGTTGTTATTATTATAACTTATCTTCTATGGGCTAATTAATTTAGAGAGAGGAGTGTATAGAATGTATTATTTTACCATATTTAAGTAATTAAATCATGATTTTATTGTAAAAATGTGGTTGGCTTTATCATATTCAGTCACTTTTTTGTGCATGTTTAAAACACTTTTAAATAATATTTAACTCCCTGCTGTTATGCAGGTGTTGGAATGTCTCAATTACAGAGCATAGTACATTATAGTCATTTAAAATATCACTTTTCCTGTTTTAGTAGGTGGGTACATTTTCAGAAATATCAACAGATGGCATTTACATAATTTTTAGCATGACTGTCATTGACATTTCATCCGAAGTAACATATCAGAAGTTAATGAAGTGTCTGGCTGTATGCTAGACTGCTGGGACAAGACTTCCTCTTTGCTGTCATTTATATTGTAACAGTGATCCATAAGTAAGCTATTGTGGATTTTTTGAAGTGAAATATGAATTTATTCCACACGCTTTCAATTATTTCCTTGATTAGTGCGCTGTCAGTTTACAAAACACAGTCTTGATTATAGATGCCCACTCTGTGAACACTGCACCACTTCTAGCTCTCTCTCTATCCACTGACTAAAAATCAGCATATGACTCTTACCTGCTCAGAATTGTCTAACCAACTTGCTCTGCTTATATAGCAGTTATATGGCTGGAGAAGGGTCCAACTCAGTAGGGTGTGTTTCCGATCTTTCCAGACCATATGACAAGATGTTTTCCTTTTTGGTCACCAGAGTCCCCAAAAATTAAGAGAAAAGTCCATACACTGCATGTGTGCATACCTTGACTGATGAAGATGTCGCTCCAAGTGGGCTGGGCTCCCATAAATCACATTGCACTGGGGGGGGGGGGGGGGGGTGTAATAATGCAGCCAACTGGACCAAGGTAGCAAGTTCCTGTGACAACACATGTATCAGCTCTGGGTCCCACCCAGCCTCCAATTCATTGGGTACTGGGGATCTTTATTTGTGAATAATGTAACTAGAGCATAAATCTGACTCTGTACTTCATTACTGCCATTTGCAGGTAATTCTGCACTAGTATGTACTAAGAATCATACAAATTTTGTGAATGGGTAGAGATTAGCTAACAGTTTTAAAATAACTCTGTATGGAGACGGGTATAATAGATTGATACTAATGAGGTGCTTATATGCAGTAGATGTAATTTTCAAAATGTAATACACATTTTAATTGCAGTGGCATTTCATTTTAAAGTATAATTTCGAAGGTCCCCTTGAAATTCTTTGTAAGGGCATTTCAGTGTATTAGTGGAATTTTCTCTTTGTGCAGGAATTATCAGATACAACGTAATAATTTGTAATACCAATGCAAGTGAATTTTACATTAACCATAGTTGGATTGTTATTAATTTTTTAATAGTGTGTATAGTAATGATCTATGAAGGATTTGTTTTCAAATATAATCTGTATAAAGAGATATGATATAGTAAGTGGAAAACAGTATTAAACATTAGTCACAATAGGTAGTAATAAATTCTTGTCTCAACCATTGTCTCATAAGTTACTAACATGTGTATGTATTTTGTGTGTAATTGTAAGAGTATTTTATCTTCTTAGGTGACAACTTGGGATGCTTTGGTGCCAGTAAAAAGAAGAAAGACACACAACCTGTTCAGCAGAAGGAAGCAGCTGGCACCAGTCGAAGCACCACACAGAGAACGGAGCCTGTCAAAGGAATGGAGCTTCTGTGGCAACCTGAGGTATGAAATAATGTGTCACTTGATGAAGATATAGTTTATGCTGATTGATTTTTTATTTTATATAAAATTGAATTTTATTTATATTAACTAAACATTAAAAGGAGAATATAGATGCTGATCTGGATTGTTGTGCCATGTGGTATTTTGTCTTTGTGTCCATGTGCCAGTGGTTCAGAGAGAGATACTACCAAAGTACATCAGAGTGCAACAACCCAGATCACCTATATTCACATCACTGAGAATCTCAAATGTTAAGAAGACTGTTTGAGTATATCTAATTGGAAACTTACGAGTTAATTGTGGTCTCATACAAGGACATAATGTTTTCCATGCAGAGTTTTTAAGTCTTCAAGTTTTTGTTGTAAATGAATGCACCAAAATCTTGGGTGGTCATATGTGTTGAAATTTGGATAAAACTGATGTTTCAGAGAACTGCTCTGTCTCCATTATCAGGGTCTGTGTTGCGAGTGACTATGAGTCACTTATGTATATACCAGCCCTCTTCTTGATTGGTGTTAATTTAGATTTTCATATTATTCTTGATGGACAATTTTCAAACATACAAGGTGATTTAAAAGCCACTGCATTCAATGATGGATGCATTCTCTGTACCTCATGTTTGATGCAACCCATTAAAGAGTTCATGTGTTACAGAAGTGATGAGGTATTGTTATTTTTTTGAATGGTAGAATCACGAAATGTATCCCTAAGCTTATTCTGGGAAGGTAAGTAAGAACAGGATGCCAAGTAGTGTTTGACATTGAATATTCATTGTAATTGTGGAAAAACATCCTTTGCACTTTGATTGTTGAAATACAACTGACAGACTGGCATGAACAGGTTGCAACATGATGTGATCTTTGTGGGCTCTTGTATAGTTATAGCAATAATGTGGGTGTGTGACTTTTTGATCAACCTGTAGTCTGAACTGAAAATATTGATGTTTTACAGACATGTGGTTAATGTACATGGTAGGCCATCAGTGAGCAAACATGGTATAACATGAAGCATAGAATAGATCACAGACTATTGTAGCATGTGTGGAATAATGAAAATGGTAATGTGATGTTGTTCTTATGCATTTGACATCTTCTGTATAACCAAGAGGACCTGGTTATCTGGATCTGGATCTGATCTTTCAATGGGAAATGCAGGATTGCTGCTATTTTTCTATTTGTCATGTTGGTTTGTATTGTAATGTTTGTTACAGGTTGTGCAATCCTACCTTACTCTGCTGCAAAGTTGCTCAAATCCTGAAACACTAGAAGCTGCTGCAGGAGCCCTACAAAATCTGGCAGCATGCTACTGGCAACCGAGTATTGAAATTCGAGCAGCTGTACGCAAAGAAAAGGGGCTTCCAATCCTTGTTGAATTGTTACGGATGGAGGTGGACCGTGTTGTTTGTGCAGTGGCCACAGCCTTGAGGAACCTAGCCATTGATCAGCGCAACAAGGAACTCATAGGTATTTACATTAAAGTTGTTATGCATTCTTTCTATAATGTACATGAAGTGAACAGACAATATGTCTGTTTTTATTCAGCTTGAGAATCACTGGACACATTTTGATGCCATTTGGTATGGGCATCATGCCATTGGAGGTTGCCCTAAATTCATGCATTTTAATTTTCTGCACCCAGCACTACCAACATGACATACATGAATTTGCGAGGTGGGAGCAACACCACTGCTACACTGTTACAGTGACGTATGGCAGTAGGTCTTAAAAAATCCACTTCATGTAATCTGCAGTGCACAGTTAATAGAAGTTAATACATGAAGTATCTTTTATTTTTTATCTGCATATTTAAGGCATGCTAACTTTTCAGTGAGGTGACTTCCTCGTAAATGAATGTATCATATTGAAAATATTTCTTGTTTAGGGAAATATGCTATGCGGGATCTTGTGCAGAAGTTGCCATCAGGAAATCCACAGCATGACCAAGGCACGTCAGATGACACAATAGCAGCGGTACTTGCAACTTTGAATGAAGTCATTAAAAAGAATGCAGAATTTTCAAGGTTTGTGTATCTCCTTCTGCAGTGTATGGATGAAAGTTTAATAAAGACCTGGTGAGACAGCAGTTGCAAGTTAATTCCTGCTTCAAATGTTACATTTTTATACAGTCCAGTAAACACATATCAGTTTTGTTTGAGCCCTCACACTACCAATTTGTTAACTCATCACATATCATGGTTTTGTATTTCATTTCCCACTATGTAGCATTTCATTTTATTATGTCTTGAATTCTGGCAATTTTCTTTCATGTTAATTTTTATTCTTTCTTTCTTTTCTTTTTGTTGTTGTTGTTGTATACAATTTGCATTAAAATATTATGATGAGTTCTGATAGCAGAGTGAATGAATTTAGTGATGGAAATCCCAGACTTAAAGTTGCATGGAAAAATGTCATTGACATTGAACAAGCCTATAAGCACATAAAACTACATCAAGCTAAGTGCGATAACTCAGTTGCTCATGTAAAGTATTTAATGCTGTTTGCAGAAACAGATGAGTGTTTATGTATGTGTTTTTAATATTTCATGTAATGGTATTTATGGAAATGGATTGAATTTTAGAATTATAAATTATGAATAGGAGCAAACTGGCTCATTCAAGGTTTCCTGCTACATTGGATACCTTCTATCTCTTTGGGGGTCTTCACGTTTGAAATGAAATGGTCTTGGCCAATGAATTCTAATAATTGTTAACACTTAACTTACTCAGTCACTCTGAGCTCCAAGGCAGTTGTTTGTTCTAAGTGCTGTGTGTAAATCTGTAGAATATTTATGTGGACCCTAGTGTCTCTGAGAGCTGACTCCCACCTATCTTTACATACTTATTGCACAGATCTTTGCTGGAAGCTGGAGGTGTAGAACGTCTAATGAACATTACGCGGCAGAGGCAGAAATACACTCCAAGGGTACTCAAATTTGCTGGTCAAGTTTTGTTCACTATGTGGCAGCATCAAGAATTAAGGGAAGTTTACAAAAAGCATGGTTGGAAAGAACAAGATTTTGTGACTAAAACAGTTGCAGCAAGAAATGCAGGTCCAAATTCTCCAAATAATGCCAACAGCACATTAAATCGTCCAATGGCAAGCCAGGGAGGTACACGGTATGAAGACAGAACAATGCAACGATCTGCTAACATGAACAGTGCTTCTCGAAGTCCTGGGCCTTCCATTTACCAGCGGGTGAGTTCAGTATATGTGTGTGAGAGAGGGAGAGAGATATTTACAATATTAAGAATTCTGAATAATTAACTGCATGCTAATTAGATTGTTGCATAAAACAGTTATGTGGCTCATTTTATTATATTTATCTGGATATAGGTCATACCTTTTATTCCATTTTCGGTCTCGAAATTAGGAGTGGAACGTATAGATATAGTCTTTTCTCATTCCTGTAACTGCCACAAGCATTGATATCAATGGCTCATGATTACATCAGTGAGCTGTTACCCCTTCCCCCACCCTTCTGCTGGTCAAGGTGCACACACATAAGACAAGATATTTCACTGTGCTAGCAGCTTCCTAGAGTACCCTCCCTGTCATATATATGAGAAATATCTGGCAATCAGTGGAATATTCCAGCATCTTCTCTGGGTTAAAATTCAGTTCAGTGTCCAGTTGAAGAAATTCATTTATGGACTGGTTGTGGAGCAAGCTGCGAGTATGAGCGGTATGCAGGCTTTATTATGAAGGAGGTGCAGTAGCAGAGTATTTTTTGTACAGTAGAAAACTTATACCCAGATAGTCAAGGCTCTGATTTGCAAACCTAAAGATCATTAAGCACTGAAATAATAAATTATAATAGTGTATGGAATATATCTGTTCTGTATCAAAAGAACCCATGGTGTAATCTCTGATCAACATTTTGGAGGAATTAATAAAATCCTCTCGTGATATCAGCCATGTCAAATGGTTAAAACTCACCAGTATTTCAGTGACCATCTCTTTCCCCATAATCAGGACATCTGATGCTGCTGTGGACCACCAACATGCTGCTTCCATCTTCAGGGTTGACCTGAAGTTGGAGAAAGTATGTTACTTCCTTTGTATCAATCTAGCATCATTCTTTATGTTGTTTTAACATTGTCGCCATTTGTTAGAATTTTTCTTTGTTTCATGTATTGTTCTCTTCCATAATAAATGGAGAATTGAGTGAGATGATTTAGTATTGTTCAGGTGTTTATTTAATCATTAGACACAACATAAGTAATAGTTTTGTTAAAATGAACATGAATAGACGTTTTCTTAAATTTAAATTACCACTAAATTGAATTTTAAAATAAAGAAATTGCAATGCTTATGATGAGGGAGCTTTATGAGTAATGGTATATTTAATGAAAATGGTTGTCTCCCATGATGTAGGATCATGTAGTCTGGTAGATATTAATCAACATTTAAGAGGAGCGTATGGTCTTCATTTGTTCATCATCTATCTTTCTTGTGTCAGTCTTAATAATTTGCTTCCTTGCAGGGTGAAGATATTCCTATGGCAGACATGTCATACCCAGAAGGAGGCACCCATGCCCCACCTCCAGGAGGTGTCCGAGCTTATCCTCCAGCTCCAGTAAGTGACGCTGCTCGATAAAGATAACTCTCACACAGAACCAAGCTGACATTCTCACATTCACTTTCTTACAGATATGTAACAGACACATTAGTATTGTGCATGTTTTAGCCTCTTGCACTACTCAGTCCAGTTGCATTTGAGTTTCTGCATGACAACCGTGATTTTAACGGTTAATAAAGTAGTTTGCTAGGTGAACTTTATTTGGGCTAATATTTTATGTACTTCAGTGCTTAATTTTTTGAAAATAAAAACATAAAACTTATAAATAATTATGTTTGTTTTACAATGTTATGTCATCTACGTGTATAATATTTTAGTCTCCACAGAACATTGCATTTGAAGATAGAACAGACAGCTACTAAAGCTTCACTTTTTTACTGTGAAGATTAAAATGTGCAGCAGTTGCCTTTTCTATCGTGGTGTAGATTTACATTCTCACTGCCGAACATGTTAGAACGAAAACTATATTAATTATTTTTAAACTAGCAAATGTCAAAATAAACTTTTTTGGCATCACTTTTGTTTTTCATTACCATTTGTGATACTTGAAGTTAATATCATAAATAAATTGAGAAAAACAATATTAAAGAATACTTGTATTTGCTTTGTAACTTAATCTAATTTGTTGGTACTTGTATGGACAGCATAGTAGCCATTTTACATTGTTTTTTAAATATAAGTTTAAATATTACAGTTGACTCCAATAAAGACTTATGTTTGTATACAAATAGGCTTAGACTTCTTCAGTACATAACTGTTTAATTTATATTTAAGTATTCTGATGACATATTCAGATAAATAGGTATGGTAACTGTTTTCAAAATGTCCTTGCTTTTCTGTTTTGTACTGAACAAATACTCTTCCGTGTACAAACACACTTGCAGGTGTTCTCGATCTGTCTCATCTTTCCTTTTGTTTGCATTTGCTTTGGTTTTATCACATCATGGGCTTCCCAATTTGTTTGCAAGAAGAGTTGAAAGGCAGTCTAAATTTGTGTCATTTTATTTAATGTATTGGTATTATTTTGATATAATAGTTTCACATTCCAGGTAGCTTAAATATAAGTTGTTATAGATGGATACTTATAGTTTAAGTATAAAATGTGTCTGCAAGAATTTACAGTTTTTATGGCTCTTCCATTATTTTTCTTTAGCAACAGTTTTTGGGATTGTGGGTACTGTTTAACATTGTACTATGTTTTAGTTCCTGTAACCATGCAGACCACTTCCTTTTCAATAAGATGGAGTGCATTGGAATTAGTATTTATGCTTCATCTTTCTCGTGTTATTTATTAATCCTACATAGTGAATTCTTTATAACTGATAACCACTGTTTTTCTTCGTACAAATTTGTTGCAGTCACATTTGTTCTTTGTTGTGCTCTTTGTTCTAAACAAATGTTAACAATGTAGCACATGAGCACATGGAAGTCACTGCATACCTGTAGTCACCTGCACTACACAAGGAGGCCATGGAAGCAAGCTTTGGTGTTGTACTTAAACTCCATTAATATTGACAGGTCTGTTATTAATCACCATGTCTCACGTTATGTTCAAAGAATCCAAATACAAGTCTTGGTGTTGGAAAGTCGTTTGAGAATTCAAGTGAAATCTTACTTGATAATACTTTATTTAAATGTGGTTTCCAGAGTGTGGGACAAACGTGTAGAATGTAGAGCTGGCAATTTTGTGTTCTTAAAAGAGCAAAATGTGTAATGTTCTTGAAACCTTTGTTGTGTCTCCATAGTTAATTTTTCATTACCAGAATCCCATGAACAAAAGAAGTTGCCCTTAAATTGTCAAATATCATGCTGTGTTATCTGTTGTCTCAAAAGTGCTTTCAATTTAATAAAATTTTCTTATTGTTTACCTGCTTAATGCATGGTTTGGTATTAAACTACAAAAATTCTCCTACCTAACCAAAGAAAGATCCAAGTTGAATTTAGGAGAATGGATAAGGTAATTGGTGTATATTTTAGAAAATTTATAACAACAAAGGTAATTATCAGGTATGTGCTATATGGCCCGTTACATTTTTACGCCGTGCCTTCAGTGGCCTTCATAAACTTCTCTTCTCCTTTAGTTTGTGTTATAATTTGCTTAGGTATTCTGTTGTTATCTGGCCTTTCTTATTGTTTCCAGTGTGTCAATTATTTTGTACACAGATTTTGCTTAATTCTTATTATAAAATGTCTTCATCTTGTTTGTAATCTGATAGTATGTAATTACCAATTTTTCTCATGTATTTAATTTTTTATTCCAATATTTTGATAATTTGGTTTCATTTGCTTTTCTGATCATCCAGGCTTTACAGATTTTTACCAGAGTTTTATAAACTTCTAAGTCTGTTTGTTTATGTTTTTGTAACATTGAAAGTATATTACTCATTTTGCTTTTATGCATTTTGTTATTTTTTTATGCCTTGCCCCTCTAGCCATCATATATTATATGATGCAGCCCAAGTAGATGAAGGTATTGACTAGTTCAGTACTTTATTATTGTTAATGCAAATTTTACTCCTAGTAGGGTCTTCACTTAAATGACCATGATTTTTGTTTTTTACCAAAAGTGATAGTTTTTTAAGCAGTTATCTGCAAATTGCTTTCTGCATGTTGTAATTCATTTGAATTTTGGCTATAATTACTTGACTATTAAAGTTTCTGCTGATTTATATTCTCCATTGCTCTTTTCATCATATTATAATATAATTCATATAAATTGTATAAATGAAGGAGGAGAAAGGCCACATCCTTGTCTCACTGCTTTGTTTTGTTGATTGACTCCCATTCAGATAAATTAGGTTTTATTTTTAGATATCTTATTATTGGTGTCAAAAATAATAAAGGTTAGGAACGAATAACAGAATATGTAAAAAGTTTGCATTTTTCTATACAGTTTATAAAAATATGTATGTACTAAAGTTCAGAATATGTAGAGGTAAATAGACAAACATAGCATTATTTCACCTCATTATTTTACAGCATTTGTTACTTGTTTTAAAATGTGTTATAAAGAAAAAAGTGTATTATCCTCACTACAACTTTTGCCTGAGCCAATTTTCAATCTGAGCATTATTTATTCTTATAAGTATACAGGGCTTAAAATAAAATTATAATCCATGCTGTCTCATTTTGACTGAAGTTACGCTTTATTTTTGAATTTCACTTAATATCAGGCTTCACTATCATGTGTGCAGATGTGGTAAAGAAAGTAGCAGTATAAATTCTGTGCATATATGGTACTGCATGGAGTAGATTGCTTGAGAAGCTAGTAGTGTTTCAGCTGGTTAGGAGAATTCCCAGCCTCTTGTTACCACTTAGTACAAACAAGTACACAATTTTAGTGAATTAATGAATTTTAATGATTATATTCACACAACACCAATTCTTGTGATTTAAAGTGACATACAGTTAGCACAGACAGGATGGCAACTTGACCCATGTATTGACTTGTATCTTCCACAGTTACGCTACTTCTAATCATTCTGGAGCACCTAAAATATAGATTTTTTGCAGTCTTCTTATGCAGAAAATCTGATAATTCTTTTATTGCATTGTATTTGGTTTTGAGATGCAGTGATGAGACCAATTACCTTTCTGTGAGGCATCATATGCAGACAGGAATTAAGAATCCATTTAGAGGTTCTTGTCACTTTTGTCCTGGTGTACACAATTAAATTTTGTTCTTTTCCATTTGCCAGCTTGTGCAACGCAGCTAACCTGTCCTCTGCTTGTATCTACTGTACTGGTGGGTGTATGTTTTCTCTTCTCTTTGTCATATAGTTGTAGATATCATGACTCAGTTTCCAAGTACCTACTTTAGCTTCACATGTTGATAGATTCATAACGTTGCTGTATTGAACTGTTAAGAAAGTAAGATTGATCTTTTGCTTATTGAAAGTGCTCTGAGACTGAATCAAGTAGCACAGAGTTCAGTTGATTGTGAACATTTTTGCATTGAACAAGGATTGACACATATCATCATCATTACAGCTGATTGTGCACAGTTTTGACACTCTTCTTGTTGCAGTGAATGCTTCAGAATATGTGCCGGTATAATGAGAAATGTGTGAAATGTAAAGATTTTTGAGGTCATTTGTTCTGTACTATCACTGGCAGGATAAGCTAGAAAATTTTGTAGTTTCTAGTCAATTGTATAGATATACAAAAAGTGCTATTCCCTTCTCATACAAAATTTGTATTGCTTAAAGTACTCCACATGAAGGTTACAGTTACAAACTGAAGACATCATAGGAAATGTTTCTTGAATGACACTGATTATGCCACAAGTGCTTGGGATGTTTGGAATTTAATGTGATCCTCTGAAATTTCCAGCCATTTTACCAGAAGCTCTCCTTGCACAGTGGAATGTCAATACTTGAGCCAGTCACTGCAGTCATACAACCATGATGGCTGTCATAAAATAGTCCAGCTAATTAGTATGTCTGTAATAACAGGAAAAGTGAATCAAAAGAAAACATCTTTTTAGTAAATTCTGCATGATGCGTGGGTGGCATTGCCTTCATCACACTGCCTGCAGTCTGCAAGCTCTCTCCTACACTGGAATTATACACATGAATATATGTTTTGTTTTCATTCACTGAAGTTTCAGAATAGCATTATATTTTTACAGCTGTTTTATCAGTTTTTCACTAATTTGTAGCAAGAATATCTGTTGATTTTGTGCTTGAAATTGGCATCATAAAATTCGGATATGCATTTGAAAGCAGGTGTCAGATTGTAGTAAGCGTGGATTTAACTTGAAGTTAGAAATGGATTTTCATTTTCCACTGCTTTCATCTGTTCCCATGATGAAATTAATGTTTGCTATGATATGTGTGTAAGTTAGAACATCACTATAGAACTGAGTTACAGCTCAATATTAGCAGTCCATGTTCTGGATATAAGCTGTAATATTTCAGTCTGTGCATTGGAACCTAATGAACTTGATGCCTTGAAGGTAGGCAGATGTGAATGCAAAGCCATACACTGCTCCAATT